GGGTCCTCAAAGTCCGAAGCCTCGACGCAGAGCTCTTCAAAATTTTGGGGCCTTTTCCACGCACTCTGCAGCTTTTGCAGTGCATCTTGTCAGTGGTCGTCGATATCTTTGCTTTAACATTCGTGCGTACCACGTAGTCAGTTTGTCGTCATTTCGCCATTATATCTCTTCCTATCGCAGGAGCTGGAGTTCCAGACCTAGAAACAACACAGCTTACTCCCGACATGCGAACAAGGTGCGCAAAACCTGTTTTGAAGATTACAATCGGCCCCCCGTCCGTCCCACCCCCCATTTGAAACATTTACAAGATTTACACCTTCAGAATCGTTGAAGTCGCGGGGAGTGTTCAGGAGTTAAAAAGATGTATATCCGCCCCCACCTGTCGAGCCATGAACATGCCAATGTCAAATAATCCCAAAAAAGATTCTCCCTTATATATATATATATATGCATATAGCCCACCCATGTTGTTCCACGGGGGAGTGGCCCATTGAGGGGGAGGGGGGCCACTGGAGCGTGGCTAATTACAGTCTCTCTCTGTATCCAACATTCCCTTATATGCCTCAGCACGAAAACTGCAGACTTCTACCCGAACGTTCAAGCCTAAACCCTGAACCCGAACCCCTCAACCCCAAACCCTATATTTACCCGGAATACCCTTAAACGCGAACCACCGAATCCTTAACTCAAATGCCTTTCTTTGTTTGGCTGGTGCTTCGCCGAGCAGGGAGTGAGGGCGGGAATGAATCCCTATAGTAGTCTTTATATTTTTTTGTCTGTTGTAGTCCCTATCACCAATAGGCGCCAGGCAGTACACCGCGAAGTCCCAAACCCGAAGACCAAAACCCCAAATCCTGAACCCCGTTTGAGCCGTAAACCGGAAGTTCTACACCCTAAAACCCGAAACCCTAAAACCCAAACCACACACCTGTGCCCTAATCCTCGTTGTTCCGAAGCGGCGGCTCAGATCTCCGGCCCAAGCAGTGTCGAAGGAGAGCACCGCCGCCATGTTCACAGCGCAAAGCCCCGATGGTTTCGGATTTGGGGTTTGGGATTTCAGGTTTAGGGTTTAAGGCTATGGTTCAGGATTTGGGTGTGCGATAAGTAGGTTTTAGATGTTTAGAGCTTGGGGTTAGGGTGGCTGGGTTCAGCCGTTAGGGTTGTAAGTTTAGGGTGCCCCTTTTTCGACAGGTTTGCTTTGGTGTTGCTGTTTGGTGAGGGTTTAAGCGCTAAGGTTCCGGGTGCAAAAGGATCAGGGCAGTGGGTTGAGTGTTGGTCGATTACACATGTATACAAGAGCCTCTGGAAGGACAGCTGGGATACAAGCTGCTCTCCCTACGTCTGAGGGCGGCGCGAAACCAAACTACACATGTCTGGATTCCTTAGCCCTGTGTACGTAGTTTCATCTCCGCTACTATCCCTATATGAATGATCAAGGTATGACTCATCTCTGCTATCACACTCCGTTCTCAAGAGAGTTGACTGTGACCCTCTTTGAAGGACAGCCGTAGGCTTCACCATCACTGTTGTTGGAATCTCAACCTCTGCGCTATGAACATTGTGATGAGGGAATTTTTGTTGCTTGAGGGGGTTGAGGGCTTAGGGTAGGACTGTGGGCGTAAGGATGGGCCTTGAAGGGGGGCTTAGGGTTTGGGGTAGGGCTGGAGATTTAATCGCTCACACTCGGACAAGCCAGGCGAGAGGTTTAGAGTTTAGGGTTTAGGGATATTTGGGGCTTAGGCAGCGACCCGCCACGATGCCTACAATCTACTTGCATCGCAAGGCCCGAAGTCCCTGATCTATCACATTAAGTGGTATACGATCACTAACTTCCAAGGACTGCAGTAAACGAGAAACTCTTCATGAGAACCCCAAAGTGACCACATGAACCTTGCGTGTGGAAAGCATGAGGGGGGGGGGGAAGGGAAAAGCGGGCAATCACTTCAGACTTCAGCTATCTGCAGCAACATAAACCTGGGTTCCTTGGAAGGAAAACCCTGGGGTCGGTGGAGGGAAGCTTGCAGAACTGCCCAAGGAGTTCTTGCAAATCTATGCGTATGAAGGACCATCTCAACCCGAGACTCGCTAGTGCTAGAACTAGTGAATAGTAGACCCAGCACTAGTACTGAAGAAGTCTTCTGGTCAAGATCGGAAAAACACTCTTGCAGCATAAATGAAGTTCCCGGCTCAAAGGGTCGGCCCCTACGACCAAATGAGCCGTGGCATCGATCAGGGCCTAAACCAGAGGCTGTTGTGATTTCATCATCTAACACAGGATTGGAGTTTAGATTTCTTTCACAACCCTAAATCAAAGGAATGTGCAAGGGTTGCTCTGAAGTGGACAGAAAAATCTTCCGAATTTCTTTGGGCCTTTACAAACAACAAAGCTGACTTACAAAAAGCCTCGCGCGAGGGACTAGAGCAACTTATAACAACCTGTCTTTGAGGAAAACTGCCTTATTAACACACACTCAATGGACGCCTGTTCCTCAACAGAGGTGAGAATGGGGGTCCCTTCGTGGGGGAATCAAAGGCTTCTACGAAAGTCTCCGACTCTCAGATGATCTTCACAAGCCCTTCCATACCATACCAAAGAGACGGTGCGGTATACCAGTCCTGCTGCCAGGAAGCAGAGAGCAGACTGCACCACAGCGTAGAGGTTCTGGCCACCTTTGTCCAGCAGGGATTCCGCGACGATCGGTCCGCCAAAGCGGGATATGCTGAAGCCAATCATGCTGTGCGTTAGATACGCCTTGATGCTGTAGCTCGTACGCGCGGTTGCTGCACAGCAGGCCCAGCCCTCTGCAATACCGTTGGCAACGCTGGCCCCGCCGTAAAGGACGATGGCAGCAAAAAGCAGGCTGTAAGGGCCAAGAAATTGAAAGCGAAAGAGCAAAAGGGAACTACAGGCTCCCAGACACATAATGCTCAAAAAGATCAAGGACTCGGTAACCAACTTCCAAGATGCTAGAAAAGCGCAGACGCCTGTCATAACTATGCCCCCAGCTCCGACAATAGCGAAAGATAGTCCACTGAGGGCTTCAGTCCAGCCGTACGAGTCTTGCAACATCATAGTGATGGACACCTCCATTGCGGACATGGTGAAGCCGCGCTCGTAGCAATAGTACACGATATTCCTCGCATCTGGAACCCAAGCTACATCCCTGATTTTTTGCAACCACTACGGCAATTATAGCTACCATACCGTCAATGCCCGTATTCCTGCAAATGTTCGCCGGTCGAGATGCCAGACCAGTCTCTCGCGTGCGGAGGGCGGCAGGCGTTCAACCCGAGTTTCCACTTCGCATTCGCTTCCTGCCTGCAGCTGACCTGGGCAAGAGTTTGAAGATTACAGAACCATCCCAAGGTACATGGAATACGGCACTCCGAAATACAAAGAGCATGTCATTGCGGTTGTATATAGTCGCAGCTTGAGGTTGTATCTGCTTCGTGATTACTGTCTGAGTCAATCCTGTCTCGGGTTTTGGTAATTCTTGTGCCTGTAAATTTATCCGTGCGGGCCTGAGCCGCTGTCTGCTTGCTGCATTACGGTCGGGAAGACGGAGAAAGCGAGCAGTAACTCGATGGCATTGATGAAGAAACCTTGGTTCTTGTACCAAGGGCTTTAACATGACAAGCTTTCTTTGGGGGGGCGCTCTTCAACAGAACAGCAGTCCAAACTCCAACCCGGCCACCACCAATGAACGCCCAGCTCATCATGCTGATTGGTGACACGTGACTGGCCTGCCCCCCACCGACGAGGAAACTGACAAAGGCAAAAAGGATCGGCCCCCCTACGAAGCCGAATGCTTTTGAACCCTGTGTCATCATCGACCAAAACGTCTTGTCAGTTTGGGGTGTAGCCAAATTCCACATGGTGCGCCATGGAACCATGATCATACTGCCAATAAGCACGGTGAGGAAATACAAAGATAAAACGCCCCAAAATGATAGGCGCTTGCCATGAGGGCTCCATTCCACAGAAGCCTGGATGATCAGGGCCATGGCAGGCATTGAGAATACCTGAAGTGCATGGAGGTAGAGAACAATCTTCCGAGCATAGCGCTGATTCCAGTCATTCTCAGTAACCAGCCCCTTGCCAGCCAACATGCCGATCAGCGCACCCAAGGGAACAACGCCAATCATGAGTCCACTTGCGGTAGCGGATTCCCCCACAGCCAAAGCATAATCCCGGCAAACCGGGATCACCACCGTGGTGCTCACTGTTGGGAGGAGCCAGGTGAGTTGAATGCTTATCTGAAGAAGTGTGGAGTTGCTGCCATCACGTCTTGCAAGCAGAGGCTTCCCTCCCATTTCCACGTACAGCTCATGCAGCCTCAGTCCCAACTCTGCCCTGGCAGAAGCACAAAAGAAGCCTCCCGAACCTCACCCCACAAACGAGATGCTCAAGATTGCGGACCCAGCAACAGCATGAGGCAAAACAGAACAACTACAGCCACGAGCACGCCGCGACCGATCGGCACTTCTAAGCTGTCAGGCTGGAGCACTTCCAGCGAAGGCCTGTACGCGGGGGCAACATCAAGAAAAGACCGGAATTATGCCTTGTCGGGTTTAAGTACTTGTCAAACAGTGAGCAGCATCAGTCGGATCTACTTGGGGCGTAACACACTCAAAAGTCCTAAATGTGCTTGCTAACATGATGGCCCAAAGGCCCTGCGCGAGCATGGTCGGCGGCGATATGGAGGCTCGACTGCAACAGGATAGTGCCCAAAGCATCCTTCTCAGGGAAATTGGAAAAAACAAGTGTGGGGGACTGTGAAGAAACACAGCGGGCTTGTTTTAAAAAAGATAATAGTTCAGTGTAAGATATTCAATCATAGAGTACATTATGGTAGATTAAGTAGTTCTAAAGGGCACCGAAAATTTCTTCGCTCGTAGTAAGCTTCAGAAGTGACATCGGAGCCGTACTACCATTGATGACTATTTCGGCTTCTACACAGAACGCTTATCAGCTAGGTTTCTTCAATGGTGCCCCATAAGCATCCCCTGATCTTCCCTAAGTGTCCTCACCAGGCGAGCCAGCCATGTGCTGCCACGGATGGGGTTCGGTTTTACAGGAGGACAAGCAAGTCTATCCCTTCGGGGGCCTCAAGCAGAAGCATTTCGGGACAATAAGAAGCAAGAAACTTAAAGACTTTAAGGGAATTTAGGGGTCTCAAGAAGCTCAGTGAGTGTAATGAAGTTTAGGGACTTCAAGAAGCGTTTGGGATGGTCTGTGTCATCGCATCGTCTTACTGATACTTCGTCCTAGAAATGAAGCATCTTTTCGGGACAATCGTTCTCTAGTTCTTTCTAAGGCCTTTGTTAGGCATCCATTGTTATTTTAAACGTATCCTGAAGACACAACTTGAATACCCTTGAGGGCGCGCGCGGGGGGGGGGGGGGGGTGTGCCGACAGACAAGTTGTATCATACAGCGACTGTATTTCATAGGAGGTTCAAGCCAAAGGGCTTCCGAACCGTTGGGTCTCCAACTGCCCGTGAAACTATGCAACAAGGCAACCAAGATCGTCATACAAAGGACATTGCTCACATCACAACACGTCTACTGACTATACTACTCAGTGCGTCCTTCTCCGTGATGCATGTCGAGGAAGAGTTCGTGCAAACTCAGAAAGCCCGCAGCCCCCTCACAGATTAAGGTGCCCGAAGCAGAATTTGGAACACGGCAGGCAGTGAACTCCGGCATGTGGCTGTCTCAACATCCAATATTCCAGTCCTCTCACAAGATATGCGAACCCAGTCGGTCAGCTCCACCTTTGCGCCACATCTAGCGGCAGCCGAAGAGTCAGGAGGTCAGCTGCACAGAGGCAGGGCAGGAGCGCTGCCTGACACCCACCAGAACTTCAACCTAAAAGATCAACCGACAGACGCGCAAAGGACAGAGGGCCACGTCACAGAATCTCACAGCATGCATGCAAAAAAAGGCCCAGCCGCTAAGCGAAACATGGAAGATGTATCAACACCGAACAGCACAGCGCATCATCTGCTAGGCCGCTATCATCGCAAAAAGAGTCCACCTTCTCACACTAACCAACCCACATGCGCCAAGTTGTCAGCCTGTAGCTTGAGCTTTTGCCGGCTTAAAGCCTCAAACTCCTGTGGGCATGCAAAATCTGAGAGCGTCTGTGAGGAGGCATGCCACCCTCAAAACATTCTCAGCACAAACAAGTGACTTTGGGTCCACCCATGCCTTCGGCAGTGCCATTGTACCACATTGGAAAAACGGTCTGTACAGCTAAACTTATGGTTAAAGCTCTTCTTCATAAACCATCGCGTCAACTAAGTCTGAAAGTGCACGTGCTACCTGTACAGCCTGGTCATCGCTTTCAAGCTCCCATGACGACTTGCAGCACTCCAGGTACTGGACGGTTGCTTTCGGCAGCTGGGTTTGAAGTCTTGATACCTTAGCTCCGACATCATGTGGGTGCCACGCAATCCTTCTTGGGTATCAACTTTGACCGAGGCACGGCCTCGTGCGTCCACAAAGCAGGGCTGAACGACCCGGTTAAGAGAACCAGCTTGGGACAGCTGGACTGTGCCCACTGCTGGAAGAGCCATGTTCTCTCCATGACGTTTTCGGCGATCAGCCGACAATGAAAGGCACCGTGCTCAAAGAAACTCTCTGGAGCCGCTTCCAAGGCCCGACGGAAGCTTTGCTGCAACTTTTCCAACGAAGTCTCATCTTCGGCCCAAGCATAGTCTCCAAAAAGAGCCTCCAACTTTGACATGTTCTTTGATGTGAAGCACTGCTGCAAGTTCTGAAACCGAATCTGAATCTTCTGATAGGCGCTGCTGGTTTGGAAGCTCTCACCATGAAAGCCTCTGAAATTCACAAGCAGCGCTGCTTGAATCCTCTCTTTGAAGCTCCACAGCAAGCAGCTAGCTTCGCCCAAGCTGCTGTCTACGAAAACGAACTTCTCCTTCAGCGGCATGGCCTTGATGAGCTCTCCAAGCTCTGCGCATGCTTCAGCGAAAGATGTCACTCCTGCCCAACTTTCTACGGCTTCGCAGCCCAGAAAGAAGAGCTTCGCTTTCCTGTAGCTTCGTCTATTTGCTGGATCAAGAAGAAATGTTCAAGAGGAACAAAACAGTCTGGTGGTCATTCTCCTGCACTAGAAACGCTAGAGGAAAAGAATATCAACAAAAAACTTGCTTTGTTCAACAGCTCAGGTTCTGCTTCGGGCAAAGATGCTTCGCCACTGTGTGGAAGGCATCTTCAAACATCGATGGTGGTGAGAGGAACGACAAGCCGATGCAAAGGACATGAACCTCGACATCCGAATCTGCCTGCCAAACCTTCACTTTAAACGGCCCTCGCGGCCCAGTATATGTCTCTGTGGCACATGCGACGGCAGCAGTGTCCGCAGAAGAAAACACAGTGCGCCTTTGTCGCGCTGGATACTTGTCCTTGATTTTGTCAGCCCAGGCATGTGCCTCTGGGAACTTGCCATTGCTAAGTTCTGTGACTCTCCAGGTGCGGAAACGGTTCAATGGAGAGACCCCCGCTTGGTTGTTCAACAACATCACATCCTCCTCGGGGGCAAGCAAGTCCATCAGCTCCAGGGTCGTTGAATGGGAGAGAAGCGTAATTTCGTGTGCTGGGCAGTTGCCCTTTCGGTCTTTCAAGCTCAAATTCGCCCCAAACTCCAACAAGGTGCGAACAACCTCCGGGGAGTTGCACCTGGCTGCCTGATGTAGGCTTGTCATGCCCAGGGCGTCTTTGGCATTTGGATCAGCCTGTGCTTCAAGGAAAGCGCGTACTGAGGTCGCGTCAGACCTGTTCACACTCAAAAGCAACTGCCTCTGCAGTTGTGCCTGCGCCTCCTCTTGCCAATGCGTGGCCAAGCGCTGGACCAACTCATTCATGATTCCCTGGACAACATCCGCATCGGTCAGGTTTGTTCCGGACATGCCACCCATACCTCCGGCATTCTCTGCCTTGTCGAGGGAAATGGCAGCAAACCGCTTTTGGCGAAGCTCCTCCTCAAAATCCTTCAGCACCTTCAGCAAGGTCTCTTGCCCTTTGGACGCTGCTTCCCGCATCCGCTGGCCACCCTCAAGGATTTGCTGAAGCACATGCTGCGAGTTGGAAAACACAATCTTGGGTCCATGCTCCTCTGGCACCATCGCAATCTTCACCATGGACACGAACCGTTCCAAGTAGATCCAACCCTTCTCACTTGCAGGTGTCCGACTTTGAATCCCAAAAGGTGAGACCTCTATAGTCATCGGAATGTCCGCAAGAGTACTGCATGGATTGATCCACAGACAACCCTGTCTGTTGATCATGGTAAACCCTTCGTCCAAGTCTTTCAGGCTAGTGATGGTCTTTGCTCCGACCTTTCGGATAAAGCAAAACGGCTGGGCTGCGGCTTCTTCATTGCTCTGAGCCACGAGTTGCACAGAGTTGTCAACCTCTCGGAGCTGCGCAGTCCGCAAGTCGGAAGCCGGCACAGTCACGAGCGCTGGGTCTGCTCCTTCTCGGCCGATACGGTCGAAATCGCACTCCAGATGAATTGTAGCATCTGATGCCAGGTACCTTGCAACAGCTTCAGGTTGTTTTCTTGACATGACACGGGATCAACAGATAAAGCGTGGCAAAACGCTTCAACCATATCCAAGGTACTGATCTGGAAACAACTTCAACGCCTTAGCAAACTCCTCCTCCTGAGCCTTGGTGCGCGGCATCTGGCCCTTGGCAAAGGGCCTTTGGGGACAGCCAAGGAAGTCCACAAAGACCAGCGTCTTCCCTTTGGGCTGATGCTTCTGGTTTGCATTCTCGATCGCTTCTTGCAAAGCTTGAAGCTTATCCCCGAGTGGATCTGGGTGAGCCTGGAAATGCCAGGTATGTGAGAGCGACAAGACAAAGTCGTCTTTGCCGGGCACATCGTACAGCTTCTCTGGCAAATCCTGCTGCCTTGGCCATGGCACCGGAAGCTCCGGCAAGGAGTCCGACTTCAAGAGACGGATGCTCTCCTTTAGGCCTGGGACCTGCTCGACCGGGTGCATCTCAGAAACGGTCTCGAGCCACAACGCCGCTCAAGCTACGAGCTGAGAAGGCAAAACTGGCAGCCCAAGGGCCCAAGGGCCCAAATCATTGCATTCTGCCGCCCTGAGCCCCCTCGACTCTGCAAGTCCCTACAACTTTTGGGAGGCAGCTCCATGCCAAACGAAGGTCTAAAGCATCATGAAGCAGCCATGCAGTCACTCGCTCCTTGTGTGGCCTCCACAGCTGCTTCCAGGCAAGTGCAGAAAACCAGCATGTCCTTGGCATTTCCAACTATGTGCGACCTACTGACTTGAACAGGCTGGTGGCATGTGCAGCCCCAGGATTACGCATGACCAGACATGCAGATTTACCCAGGCCCATACACGAAACATCAATCACATCAATAATATCAATAGTATGAGATTTCGGTTACCAATTCGAAGATATCCTGGTGAATGAACTGTTGTATGGATTCAACAGAAATCAACATGTAATCCGCATTCTAAATCCGAAATCGACTAAAAGTAGAAGATCTTAGTGTGTTTCAATGCCCTCACATTGCGCACGCCTCCGAAAAAGTTGCAATCAAACGGCCATCGCATGGGGTTTGGAGACATGAAATGAAAGAGGAAGTCAGCCCCAAAAAACAAAATGAATGTGGAGTCTGAGATATTATGATCTTGATCCCCCCCCCCCGAATCGCTCCAAAGAAGATGGTATAACCCAAGATGGCCAAACTTTAAATGCAATCAGGATACAACTTGCCAAAAGGATTTTGGCTTAGTTTCATTGGAAGCTGTCGACATCTCTAGTTCATGGTTGGGAGAGGCTCACAAGCACTCCTACTTCTGAGGGCGGTGCGCGAGCAAAATGCAAAACAGGAGAGGCCTGAGAACGTTGTGCCGTACAGGGCCGCGGATGAATTCTTAACCGAGCCCGGATGCGCTAGGCTTCGAGTATTATTTGTCAGCACACCGCAATACATCGAGTACCAATTGCCCACAGCATATGTGAACTGTACTGCTTGCGAGCCGAATCCCTAGAATCCGCAAGCCTGAATGACTGAATGGCTTCACTTGCATGGAGACATAGCGGCATAGCGCAGACGATGGCATTGCATGTCTGAAGAAGGATGAAAGCAAAAAGGCAACATGCTCTAGATGTGTGGGTGGACAAGCGACCATTCGAATTGTGCTAGCAAAAGGAAACCCCGTATTTGGGTTAGCAACCGTATCCCCAACCCTACCAAACATGTATCCAAACCCATATCCAGTTCGCGTTCAAACCCATAAACCTTCAATGGCAGGCACGGATCGAACTCACATTGTTAGCTTGGCTTCTGAGCAACATCAAGAGCAGATGATGTCAATACTTGAATACATGGGTGGGTACCGGTGGTCAGTCAGGGAATTTGGAGCTTACCGCGGTTTCACGTGCTGTGGTGCCGGTGATGGCTATGACTTCCGAGGTCGCTGGGCATGTGGGACAGGAGACGGCTCAGGACGCTGAGCTAGAGGATCCCCGAGTGATAACCACAGATCGTTGGAAGACCACACATGCCTCCGGAAATATTTCGCCATGGGACGACGGCCAGGACCGCATCGTCGTGAGCGCGAGCGTACGGCAGTATGTCTGCAGGGGGGATGTTGCAGAAAGCGAGCAACAGCCAGGCGCTCTGGAGGTCGGGGAGGCGCTTTAGTTTCCGGAGCAAGTCGTCCTGGGCAGCAAGGCGGTCAGCGGCCTGGGCGGCGACGAAGTCGGGGTGACCGATGGGCACTCCCAGGGCGACGAAGCCACACTGCACTGGGGGCAAGTTGCAAGGTGTCGAGCGGCGGCCCGGGAGGAGACTCAGTCTGGTGAATTCATCCCGTCGTGTAGTCCCAGTTGGGGGGTCCCAAACCAGGAACGTTTTTGGAATCCAAACAGGCGCTTCACACCGGCCGTAGGGAACGGAAGGTTCTGATGGGTCCGATGATCTGTCGAATATCTTGAGTGGAAGTCGCCACAGAAGTTTGGCGAACTTTGGAATCAGTGGATGTCTCACCGCCGCTTCAGCAGATGGCCATGGCACAAAGAAGAGGTCAGTATCGAGGCACAAATGCGTGCAACATGCAGATCGGGTTTTCAAGGGGTGCATGCTGGTGTGGATTGTGGACATGGGTACAGCCCAAAAGCAGTTTCTGATTCTTGCAAAGGGCGTCATAGAGCGAGGCATGAGACACCCCCCAGAACCATCGCAAACAGCACCACCTCGGAGATTACCTTCAGGAAGAGAAGCGTCTTCTGGCAGATGTGCGCATTGGTGCGTGAATCAGCATTTCATGGCATTCTTCTTGATTTTGGCGGGGATGAAACCCTACGGCAAGTCCGTGTCTAACCGACGAAGTTTTTCTTTTTTTATCACCGCGCGCCTTTTTACCGGAGAAAAAGTTGATATTTTTTTTTTTAACGCTCCTTTTCTCCGACGCCGACTCGTGGTCTCAAGGCCTCATGGGCAGGCGGCTAGTTGCCGCTGTTACGCCCGGCTCCAGGATTCGGTCCAGCGGCAGCGGCGTGAAGTCCGAGCCTGCCGAGACGCAGGGCGCCTGGCCAAGGGCAGTGGTGACGACGGCCGCTTGCACAGCGACCGACAGCACGCTCCACCACCTTCTCGCCCAGCCCGCTGCCGCTGCTTGCCGAACTGTGGGGGGCGCGCGGCACGCGCGCAAACGGATCAGGTCTCGGACGAACCGCAGCGCGCCGCCATTCCAGCGGCCTCCCACTTCGGCCCCGAGCACGACCAGCCTCTGCGGGCCGCCCCTTGCGAGTTCTGGGTGGCTGCCCGCTTGCGTCTTTCCGCCGCCCGAAGCGCCGCCCCATCGGTCTCCGCCGCGCAAGGCTGTGGTAGACCTGTGCGCGTCAGCGGGGACACGAGGGTGGCATCGCAACATAAGGCGAGACCCAGTGGGGTGGCGCCGTAGACGATGAGATCCAAGCGGCGCGGATCGTGGGCCGGGACCCCAGGTGCCGTCGTGTGCTTCCGCCGCATCCGGGCGAGCCGCAGTGGCGAGCGGTGATGGGCAGGGGAAGGCGCAAGCGCCTGCGCAGGGCCACCTGCATGACGGGCGGGAACAACGTCGTGGCCGGCTCGCCTGGAATGGCCGTCAGCCAGGCGCCAGAGTGCGGGCCGGACTGGGAGCGAAGCAGGGCTCGGCGGTCCGGCGTCAACGACGGCAGCATCACGCGGTCGCGGTAGTAAGAGTTGCGAGTGCGCGACGCATGAAGCTGCCAGCCGTGTGGCCATTCGCCAAGTCCTGTATCCGCCTCCGCGTCCGGCCGCAGGCCCCCGGCAACTGCGGTCCAGCTGGGGCACGCGTCCCAGCCCTCGGTCATCAGCAGCGTGCGGGCGCTCGCAGCGTGGCTCAAACACGCGGCGCCTGCGCCCCCTTGTTGGAGCGCGGCGACGCAGGCCGCCGCGAAAGCCGGAAGACGGGCCGCCATCACCGGGAGAGCATCCGCCCACGCCGCCCAGTACGCTGCGGGGGCCACGTGCGCTGCTGACGCGAGGCCTAAGCCACCGAGGGACGCTGGTAGGCAGGCCAAGTCGCGCGCGAACTGCTCGTCCGCGTCCTCACCCCCATCACCTCCCAGGCATTCTCGGAGAGTGCCCCACACGGCTTCGTCGTGCGCTGCGGCGTAGGCGGCCACATCCGGCGGGGGGATTGTGCGCAAGGCGTGGTTCGCACGCGGGGAGGCGCATAAGGCGAGCAGCAGCCAGGCACACTGTAAATCGGGGAGCTGGGGCAAGTGTTGCAGGAACTCCCGCTCCTCGGCCATTCTCGCGACAGCCCACGCTTGCACGAAGTCGGGATGGCCGACGGGAGAACCCAACACGACCATGCCACGCTCATGCGTGGGCCGGTTTCCCCGCCACACGTCCACGCCTAGCTGTTCTAGGCCTGGTGGAGGGCCCGCCTCTGCCGCCCCGAGCACCCGTGTTTTACCGAGGTTGGAGGCGATCCCGCAATCCGCTTCCACGGTCCCCACCACCTGGTCCAGTGCGGGCCGCGCGCGCGCAGCCACAGTGACGACGTAAAGGTTGACTGCAAAACTGTTGCTGAACGCGCACGTATTTCCAAACAAATTCGGAAGGTCCTTCGAGCACACCAGCGACGCAAATTTTATCGTCGGGTCGTGATTTTAAACGATTGGAATCACATCTTCGTGGTATATTCTCTACCGACAGTGACTGGGAGCAGACCTCGCACTCTTCATTTGCGGATATCTTGCCATTTTCTTTCGAGGAGTTGCAGGCCGTTTTGAAGCGCATGACAAATCAGCGAGGGGCTGATGACGGTGGTCTAGATGTTCAAATTTGGTGGCCGAAATCTTCACCAATGCTTGCTTCAAATTTTCAACAACATGTTGGCCAGTGGCAACTTGGAATCTTCGTGGCAACACTCCTTCTTCAAAATGTTTTTTTTTCTCCAAAATGTTGCCGAAACCCGGTGATTCGTCCATGGTAACTAATTCGAAACCAATCGGAGTTCTCAAAATCACCTACAAGATGTTTTCGAAGTTCGTACATACGAGAATTCAGCCAGGAAGAAGTTGCTGCTCCTGACAGCAATGGTTTTCAATTCTTTCGCTGGGATTCTATCATCCTGTCACCTCTGGAGCTTGGGTGGAGGAGGGCAACTACTGTCTCCAAGTCCTGCCCTTCATGTGGAGAGCTCACCTCCCTTTAGCTTGCAGACTGCAAAGTTGGCATAGAGTAGTCTGTGCCAACCTGGCAGGCAAAGATTGCGGGAAGGCAAAACTCAACACTGCAAGCAAATGGGAGAGAGTGAGCTTTGAATGGATGGCAGTGACCTCTGGTGGCATGAATGTGCATCACTCGTTTTTTGTGTGACGCGAACCCTGCGGCCTGCGTGGTCGGCCTGCCGACGCGCTGGCGCAGCGGCAGCCTGCAGGGGCCTTCCGGGTCGGCCAGCTCCAGCACCCGGTCAAGCTCCGGCTCATGGCCCACGGCCGTGAGGGACAGTAGCCACGCACAGCCCAGAGCCGTGCCGCCTACGGGACGCTGGACGGCGACAAAGAGCATGCGCCACCACCGCCGCGCCCAGGCCGACGAGGCGCTTGCCCGGATGGCGGGCGGCGCGCGCAGCGCCCTGACGCACACGAGTTGCCGGACCATGTCGCGCGCGTCCTGATTCCACCGACCACCAACCTCGGCCCCGCCGCGCCTTAGTTCGGGTACAAGGGAGGGGGTTACATCAGGCCGTGAAAATACACATCACCCCAATGTGGACGCTCATGCAAAGAATCACCCATCACGCGAGAGAATACACATCACAAGGTACGAAACCCCAATGTGGACGCTATTTTTGGCTGTCAGCCACGGAGACCTCAAAATCCACCCAACCTCGCGGACGCTTATGTTTCGGGCCATTTTTACATCAATCTGGCGTACGTTTTGGCAGCAAATCCCGAAGGAGACGCTCGGTTTGTATCAACATACGGAACGTTGATCTTCGAAGCCTTTACTGGCCTTACACACCTGAGGCCCGCAGCTGCTCAAGTGCACACTGCCTGCCTGCTGCCTGCTGCATGTGTCTGGCGGACCAAACCCTGCGACCGAGACCGGTTTTGATATAGAAAAAGTGCATTAGACCAGCTAGCACGGAAACTTCTTGCCAACTGCCTTAAACAAACTTGAAGCCGTGGTGGCAGCTTGGATCAGTGCCAAGTCTTGTCCAAATTGCAAACCCAATGTGGAGATTTGACGCAGGCGCTTCCTCCGACCATGGGCATGGGGTGGTTTGCATGCCAGACCCCATTGTGGACGCTGCATAGGCTGAAAACTGGACGGCTAGGATCAGTGCCGGGTCCTGTGCGGGACCTGCAAGACCCCAGTGTGGACGCCGAACGATGTGTATTTACACCACGCGATGTGAGATAAACCCCCCCCCCCAGTATGTGGCGCGCTTGCGGGCTTCCGCCATGCGGAGGGGTGTCTGCCGCATGGGGATGGAGCGTGCCGGCCGTGCTGATTGGGCTCACCGACGTGGTGTCACAGCACAAGGCCATGTCCTGCGGGGACGCCCCATATACGACCAGGTCGAGTCGTCGGCGGTCCTGCGGCGACCCGCCTGGGGCTGACGTGTGCGCCAGCCACTGCTGTGGCACCACGTGGCCTTCCGCTCCGAGCCTCACGGCATACAGCCATCCAGGCCCGTTCGACGAGTTTCGCCCTCCTAGCCAGCAGCCCGGTACGGGTGCAAGCTAGAGCGTGATCGTCCAGCCTTTTGCCACATCCGTGCCCCGACTGACCGCATTCGCCCGGGCCCAGTGGCAATCTCAGGCGGAGCCTTCGCCGCAGAGCTAGCAGCATCACGTCTAGCGGGAGGGTGGAAGCACTCTCTGTGGGGATCGCTGTTAGCCACGCCGCCGCCTGCGGCCTTTGCAGCATGGCCTGGTGAGCAGGCTCCAGGGCCGGCAGCAGCACGCGTTCGCGAAACTAGGAGGTGCGAGTACGCGACGCGTGGAACTGCCAGCCATGGGGCCAGTCACCAGGGGTCCTGCGTCTCGGCCGTGGGAGATGCACGCGAGTCATCGAGGAAGGACTCCCAAGTGGGGCAGGCATGCCCCTCCGTTCGCAGCAGGTTGGCTGCGGCCTGAGCCGCGCACAGGGCCCGGCGTTCGGGTCCGGCCAAAGGGAGGGCATCAACACACGCGCGCGCGAGGCCTGGCTGCCTGGCACTCAGGTACCCCAGCGTGTCCGCCCACGCTCCCCAGTACGCCGCCGGCGCCGTGCGAACAGCGGATTGCAGGCCCAACCCTCCAAGTGCTGCGGGCAAAGTGGCGACGGCCCAGGTGACGCAAGCCCACAATGTCGTGCACAGCGCCCGTTCGCGTGCCTCAGCATACGGACGGATGACCTCGGGCGGGACATTGGCGCGTGGTTGGCGCGCGTGCTCGCGCATATGAGCAGGAGGAGCCACGCGCGCTGGGCATCAGGAAAATGCGGTAGGTGGTCCAGCAAGACCTGCTCCTCCTCAGATGGGTTTCCAGTCATTACTTGGAGTGGATCACGCGCTTGCCGTTCTTGACACGGTTTTGTCCATAGCTGTGGAGTGGAATTGTGACGTTTGGTGCGCCAGTCTGGATTTGAAGAAGGCTTTTGACCGCATCGAGTTCAAACCACTTTTCGAAGCATTGCGATGTCTAGGTTTGCCAGTTACATCAACTTATTGCAAACATTGTACCGCTCAGAATCTGGCTCAAACGCAGGGTGAAACAGGGAGATGTTATGTCGCCCGCTTGTATAATATGATCGAATGCCTCGTACAAGAACTTGGAAAGATCGGTTTGCGTTTGACTGCATCAAAAGCCGAATCATTCCTACAGCCCACTTAGACGGACCCATGTACATCAATGTTAGCGACAACATGGTCGAGGTATTGACGGCAGGCGACGTTCACAAATATTTGGGACGACATATCAGTGCAGATCCTCGATGCCGCAGTCAGACAGAACTCAGGGCGACCAAGTGTGCGGCGACAAACTCTGGTGTGCCTAAGGGTATGCCAAGTGCAACGATTCCACACTGGTTCGATGCGAGGGCCCGATCGCCAACCCAAACCTCGCTGTCGGGGGCAAGTGACTGGACACCCTCGGGATAGGCCCCTCCGCTATTCCACACGCGGGTCTTGGCAGGGTTGAGTCGGAGTTGGCACGCCGCAGTGGAATGAGCCTCTAAGCGGTGGTAGAGCTGCGTCACGCGGTGGGGCGGGGCCGATATGTACGCATCATCGAGGTATGCCATGGCTTGCTCGTCGGGGCCGAGGTCTGCTTGCAGGTCGCGGATAGCACTTTTTGCGGGCGCCCGCCATGGTTCTCGTGACATTTGGTGACAATCCAAATACCCCGTCTTTGCGGAGACAACGCAGCTGCTGTCACGGTGGCAAATCGTTAGCTCTGTGGGCGCATTGGAGGTCAGGCAGCCGCGCAATCTCTTGCAGAAGGCGGCAACAAAACGGGACTCTGCCTGAGCTGCGGGGACGCCGAGCGCGACAGACCCGCGCTGTTCCGGTGGCAGGCTGGCCCACCGGCCGCGTTGTAAACGCGCGTTTTGGAACTCCTGGGGGACGACCTGAAGAAGATGCTCAAGCCGCGCCGACGTTGTGACGACGTAGTATACGCGCTCATCGAAAGAAATGACCGAGGTCTCGGGGTCTAGCTCCACAGCCGCGCGAAGCATCGCTGTCAGGCTGTCTGTGCCAGCGCGCGTCTGCAGCATAGGCGCGTGCGAGAGCGCGGGCAACGAATCGCCGAAACACGTCGCTATTCCTCGCACGCCATGTATGAAGCGAGAGATGCGAGAGCGGCCTGGGGAGTCCTAGACTCTAGACGATGCCAGGTCCCAGTCCGTGGGCGCAATGTCGATGCCAGGCTAAACGTGTTCATGCATGCGGAAACAGAAAAGGGTTCAGCTTGAAATCGCGAAGAGCACATGAAATTTGGGAGCCCTGGTGTTCCACATTGTGCGAACATACGCAGCGGACGATGACCAGTTTGTGAGTGCCAGAAAGGGGTGAGTGCCAATTAGTATGCCCATGAAACTTGAGCAGCATCCAGCAGCTGCTCGTCCTCATGTAACACGGCCTGAAGGGCGCGCAGCGAGGGGTTCAACCCTGTGCTCGTCCAAGGCATGCTGGCTGGAGAATCCGGAACTATCCGGAACTGGGTACTACGACGTCCGGTCCCGTGGCCAACACAGTATATCTCGCGCTGGAACCACATTGGGATAGCAGAAGCGCTCGGGATGCCGGGTCAGGGTCTGAAAAAAAACATCTTGAGCGTGCCGCACACAACCCCCCCGTGTGGCCCCGATTTTGTAGTCGCTGGCTGACTGTTTGAATCTGGGCAGTGTTGCAAATTAAAGTTGGTCCCCTCAAACTTGTCCGTGAGCCATGACCTGGGCCACCTCTGGCACCGCACGTGTAGTTGTGTCGGAGACAGGTGCAGATGCACATCGTCGACCTAAACAAGTGGTCTGGCTAGTTGGGTCTGAGCGGGTAAAACGATGTTTCCTGGGATCGCCATGTCGCCTTAATGTGAACAATGCTAACAATTGCAACGCAAAGGGGTTTGGGATCGCCATCAGCGCAATAGTCGTCAATTTTGGAGGCGGGAGAGGGAGGGACAGGGAAAGAGATGAAGAGAGAGAGAGAGAGAGAGAGAGAAAACGAGAGAGAGAGAGAGAGAGAGAGAGAGAGAGAGAGAGAGAGAGAAAAAGAAAGAGAAAAGAGGTACAGACATAGAGAAACAATGAAATGGATAGAAGAGAGAAAGAAAGAAAGAGAGAAAGAGAGAAAGAGAGCAACGAGAGCAAAGAGTGGAAAGACAGGAAAAAGAGGAAAGAGAGGAAAGAGGAGAAAGAGAGAAAGGATCAGAGAGAAAGAGAGAAAGGGAAGGAGAGAGAGAGAGAGAGAGCGAGAGAAACAGAGAGAGAGGAGAGAGGAGAGAGGAGAGAGGAGAGAGGAGAGAGGAGAGAGGAGAGAGGAGAGAGGGGAGAGGGAGGGGAGAGGGAGAGGGGGAGGGGAGAGGGGAGAGGGGAGAGGGGAGAGGGGAGGGGGAGAGGGGGAGGGGAGAGGGGAGAGGGGAGAGGGGAGAGGGGAGAGGGGGAGAGAAAAAGTGAAGGACAGAAATTAAGGGAAAAACTAGAACGATTGAGTGATAGAGCGAGAGAGAAAGAAAGTGGGAGAGGGACGGAAAAGGAGAGATAGTGAAGAAGTACAAAGGATAACAAGAGAGATAGAAGGAGAGAGCCCGACTCCTGCTGGAAAATATCGGCGTTGAGAAGCGGGACTGGTCTCAGAGGACGGTGTCTCTCGGATGTGTCATCTGATTGGAGGAAGTTGTTGTGGTGCAAATAGCGAGGACCCTTCCGACATGGCGGCGCCATCGTTTGTAAGTGGGGCGTTGGCGGCACGGCAGGAGGACGTGCTGCAGCAATATTGAGGTGGCGCAGGAGGACGGCTGTATGCTTGAGAAAAAGACATGGATAAGATACATCACTTCAGATATCGTGTCACGCATCACGTTTGTTGTGCTTGCCGTGCACGTGACGCGTCTGCACTCGGGCTCGTGGCCCCAACCCTGCCCGACTCTCGTCTTCCCGTCGGCGGCAGTGAGGCGGCAAGCCTGCCTACTCCACCCCCTCCCGCCACGCTGCGCCGCCGTCAACGTTGTTTGCATTGGCGGGAGCCGGGGAATCTTGGACTATAGCTGGCCACACAGGCAGGGTGGCTGCAGCTCGGACCCGCGGTAAATCCACACAGCTAATACTCGGCTCATGAGGGTTTGCAGCCTCGCTTCCCCAACGGCCAGCTCCTGCCTCGCACAGGGCAGTCGTGCTCCGATCGCAAAAGCTCGGGAATTGCCCGCTGCTTTGGCATGCGACCAGCCATGCTCGGCTTGTGAAAAAGGCGGCGCACGGAGACAACGACAAGTGCGGTGAACGTGCAACAGCGTTGTGCGGCGGAGTGCCTTTGCCGCGTTCTTGACCATAAGTCATGTTAAGGCTGTTAATGTTTGTAATGAACTTGATTTTGGCAAGATTGGGGCGACCTCCTTACGAGAAGTCTCTCTGCGACTGCCTGTGCAAGTCTGTAGTGCAACATGCCACACACGGAGAACGCCCCACGTTCAGAGCGAAAGCACAATTCGTACGCGGAGGACGTCCCGAGTTTGGGGCGTTCTGAAACAATGTGCGCGGCTTGCTTTGCTGGCTTTTCAAATTTGCATGACTATAGACATGGGCAGCTTCATGATATGCGCCCTCTCCAAACGTATCCTGGCATGCAAAGATACGACGACGGTGACAGTTGTGATGGTGGTGATCATGATTGATGGTGACGATGATGATGAGTCATGATGAGTCGATGACGTCGATGACTTGGGCGACGACGACGGCGACGGCGACGGCGGTGGTGGTGGTGGTCGTGGTGGTGGTGGTCGTGGTGGTGGTGGTCGTGGTGGCGGTGATAATTTATGGTGATGTTGCTGCGGCTGCTGCGGTGGCTGTGCTGCTGCGGCTGCTGTGCTGCTGCGGCTGCTGTGCTGCGGCTGCGGCTGCGGCTGCGGCTGCTGCTGCTGCTGCTGCTGATGATGATGATGATGATGATGATGATGGTCATGATGGTCATGATGGTTCGCCACTGAAGGCGCTTTCGCCATCTGTTGCAGCCTGGCTTGGTTCTATCAGGCTTTCAACACAAAGCCATGCACTCAGAGGTGCCCCTTTCATAATGCACAATGAGGGGTGCACTCGTTGTGTTGCAATGGGAGCACACACCAACAGCAAGGTGGCTGTTTCCTCGCTAGGGCTCAAGGCATGCGCACGCGCGCAAGAGAAACCTAAAGAAGGGAGCATCTGCAGCGGTACGGTATATATACTGGAAGCAACCCGTTTGAGTTCTCCAGATTCCCGCAAGCAAGCGATGCAAGCGTTTTCGTAGGCCGGTGAGCATGATGCAAGTGGGAGCCAACCTACACGGCTGCTTCAGGCAGTAGTGCTGCCCCTATATTGAAAACGATTGGGAAGCGCAAGTGCGCCTCGAAAAGCTGCGCGGTTTTCAGACGGAGATCCGAAGACTTCTGGGCTGGCTCTGAGATTTTGTTGAGATATCTTGGTTTAGGGGGACATTTGGGCGCTTGACAGTCGGCTTGTTGGAATGGGGCTTTGAAATGTCTTGGGGTCTCCAGGAATCTGCAGAAGTCATTTTAGGGTCTCCAGGGTCTCCTTCTAGGCATGTCGCCCTGTCAGGGCCTCAGAACGGAAAATCATGCAGCTCTGCATATTTAAAGAATTGGTCCAGCAATCTGAGCTGCTTGTGATGCCAACAAAGGCAGTGCCAACAGTGCTCATGAGAGTATCACCATGATGTGTATTGTACGACTGTACGACTCACAGGTCCTTGTCCTTCCCGTCCTTATCAGGGCCAGCGCCGGCCCCATGTTCGTAGCCTTCGTAGCCTGGCTTCGAAGAACTGCTTTGGCCACTTTGGCGCATCTTCAAGCCCAGCATGTCCGCCACCAGCGCCGCGGTCTTTTGAGCCTCTCGGCCGATTCCTTGCAACGGGAGCAGGTCGCGCTGTTCGGGCCCCAGGCCGACGAAGAACGCCCGCGCACGCACCGCATCTCGCGACAAAGCTCCCTGAGACTCGAGGCTCGTCCGGTAGCCAGTGCAAAGAACCACAGCCGAGAATTCCCGATGGTGAGTTTCTCCCTCAAAGAGAACTCCCACCTTGCCATCCTTGCCAGGTTCCAGACATTGGACTCCCCTGTGTGGCAGGATGCTTCCTTCGCGAAGCTGCCGGACCAAGGATCCATCCCGGTCGATGGTGGGGATGTGCTTCTCTTGCCGCGCCCTCCACCTGGGGAGGTCTGCGGGAAAAAGGCCCTGGATGTCGCCCTCCTCGGTTCTCGAATGCTCTCTCCCGCAGCTCTCTAGGCCTTAATCAGTATTCTAGCTAATGCATCCTCCGAAAAGCTGTGTCTAGATCACGCTTTTTTTTCTTCTCAGCTCTTCAGGTCCGAGCATCAATCAGGTGCATCATGAGCTGCGCCAGGCGATCACCGTTCTTGTCGCAGGCATAAGAGAAAAGCCTGGCGAACCTCATTGAGTTGTCGGACGACCCAACCTAGCATCGAACCTACTCCCAGGACATTTTCCAGCGCACCGGCTTACATCAAGACGGGAGGATTTCAAGTTGCTGTTGAGTTCAAGTGAACTGCGTGAACTGCTCACGTCCTTCAACTTGAGCCCGGGGCCCGGTGTGCCCAACATAAAACCATACAGAAACTCTTTTCCGGCATGTTCTGCGTCCTCCACCAGAACTCCGTTTAGCGAGCTTGTTTGGGAGCCGACGTTGATCAAAACTCCAGGCTAGGCAGATCGAATGGGGTAGGGTGGGGTGGGGATTTACAGTGTGGGGAGGGGCGGCCACCTTTCCAAAGCTGGCCCAACATTGGACAGATCTGAAGTGTGACTGGCGGTTGTAGTCAAGTTCTCGACGTACTGAGCTACCAAGACACCATTCGAGGCGGAGTGGGCCCCACTGCCGACGCATGATGGGCGGCACACGCCGCAAGGACATGTGCACCGTGCCGCCTGTCAGTGGGCTGGGATCGGCATTCAAGGGTTTAGGGTGGACAGCTTCAGTGTAGGCTGTGCTGTATAAGGCTGTGCACGGGTTTAGAGTTTTCGGCAAGGTCAGCTTGGGCGGCTGTGTCAGGGGTGCCGAAGCTTCCAAAGTGTGAAGGGCGGTCGACAAGACCTAGGACAAGGCGAAACAAAACCTGCCTGGCACCTGTGCCAGGATTTTGCTGCAGAGGTCCGCGGCAGAATTTCCGAAGCCAACTACCTCTGGCAAGAAAGAACAAGGGACAGAGCATTCAAACACATTGCAAGTTTCGTTGTCAAGGTGAAGTTTCATCTTCCGTAGTTCCTTTCCGATCCGACTGGATGAGGTGAGCGTTAGGTAATACAGGGTAGAAAGAACAAGGCCAAGTCCTGTAACACTTGCCGCCTAGCTGACTTGCGTACGTCCCCAGGACCCGAAGCCTCAAATGTCCTTCAACAACATCGAGCTCTTGTGGTCTCCCCAACAAAATCTAGTGAACCAAACAAAGACAAGCCCTCCAGTTGCTCAAGGGCCACGAGAAGCTCCCCTCGGCCAGCCGCAGCCACTGCCTGCTGCAGCTGTGGGCCTTGAACCTGTGTCCACGGGAAGTCACGTGCAGGTTCGAACCACCCAGATCGCCAGCTGAGGCCCCCAAAATGGTAGGTGATTGCACAGCTAAGGTGAGAGCTTCTCAGGGATCGCGGTTGATGGTTTGGTGCTTCGCTGCTTGGGTGCTCGGGTTCAGTCGACGTGTCGTTTCAATTTTGCCTTGGTTCGGTCTTCAAGCATCTGGAGAGCTTACCGTAATTCAAATGGCGCAACTCCTCAGTTTGCAGCAGTCGGGCGATTTGGCTTTGTGGGTGAGCTGGGAGTGTTTCGATGTTCGAACCCCTTTGGATTTGGCACGCGCCGAAGCATGCTCTGCAGCCTAAGACCCTAAGGCTTAGCACAAGAAGTCCCTATGACCTTCGTCTGTGGCCAACTGTGTGAAGATGACAGCGACTCATCTACAGCCCAAAACCCTGCATCCCTATCTGGGCCTTTCAGGTTCCCTGTGGCTCCAGAATTCATGTCTCCAGGTGTACGACTCCCTTCTTCCCCCCCATTTCCCTGGCGCACCTGGGAGGAGTGGAAAACGGCCGGATGCTCTCTGACCGGCTCCTGTGAGGAGCATTCCCTCTTCAATCATTCACCCCCCAAAATACGGACCTTGTAGGCACACAATAAGGGAGCTCATGGCCTCAAAGCCTGGTAGGACCGTTGTCAGTGCATATAGTCACCACATCGGGATACTCCACGCACAGCATGATTTCCTTCTCACGGCAACTGAATTTTAGAGCTTCTTTAACAGCAACCCAGGTAGCTCTGCAGCCCAGCTGCGCTTGACCAGAGCGCGGGAATGGACGGCACGACGCTCCTAGGCGTGAAACTACTTCATATAGGAGATGAGTAGAGGGCCTATTTGGGCAGTTTGTATTCCAAATGGTCAGGGTAGCACTACTTACTTTGTCGGCTTAGATGTCTGAGGAATTACAGTGCGCAAGGCATGACTTGATATGATTTGGGATGGTGGGGAGTCCTGGGGAGTCCGTCATGTTGGCAGGCAAGACACTTGCCGGTGGCAATGACCAGCTCCGTCGCGACCCATGTCCTAGGCGGAGGCTGACCAGCCCGATGACGGGGCTCGTGCGCTTACTCGATCTTACTGACAGCATCTGACACGGCCCGGACTCCTTGAATTTTGAGCCTTGCAAACCCCATCCTGAACTTGAAGCCCATTCAGGGCTTGGATCTGCTGCGCCTTGCTGCCGCACACTGGAGTAAGTCCAGGGAGTGCAGAGCTTCAAAGCCCTCTCCAAACAAACTCCCCTCCCAAGCATACTCATCCAACCGTTCCGCATAAACCCAACGACCAAGGCTCTCCAAGGAGCTCCCGGTGACGGAGATGCGCCACTGGCCTTACGAGACAGTTCTTTTGCTGGCTTCTTCTTTTTGGTGCTTATGTTGTATGCAATGAGGGTTGAGGCACGGTTCCGGCGTAAGTCTGCTTGCTCTATGCCATCGATGCCTTAGGGCATGTTTCTCACCTGCGGTGCATCCAACCAGCACACAACCCCTCGTGTGTAGGCTCTGTCTTCGGTCCTGGTCACTCCATACGCACTGGTACATGCATGCCTGGCCCGAGAAATGCAGCGTTCTGCTCGTGCAGCACCCGGAACCGCAACACCGAGCCAAAGGGGCGTGGGCTGGCTATTTTCGGCCTTTAGGGTTCCAGGACATCCCCGCCTGACTGGTCGTCGATGTCTGTGACCTTCACACGCGTGTCATGCGTGCAAATCTTAAAAAATTGCTCCCCGTGCGGAAACTGAATCGTCGGGGCTTGGACCTTAGATTCACCACCGGAACCGAAATACACAGGAGCCGCAAGATGCCGCAAACCCTCACAAACTCACAAGCCCCGTTGAAGCCCTCGACCATACAAGGCCGTGAGCCATTGCCGAGAATATCCCCTTCACAATCCTTTTCTACAAATGCACATGCACACAATGATATGCGTTCCAACTTGATATAGGCCCCAATTTACCTGCACCCTCTGCAGCCTCCACACCGCAGCGGACGTCCAGTGCCCAGCGCGCCGCGAAGGCGCGCAGGTACCGGACGTAGGCATCGGCGGTCAACCTGGGAAGCTCTTGAAACTAAGGGGTTGAGGGAGTAGGGAGGGTTTAGGGTTTTGGGTTGAGGGAAGATTCAAGGGGTTTTGGATAAGGGCCAAAAAGTGTGCTTGAGGAAGCTGATACGAATACCTGAATGAAACCAAGAATTGCCACTTAAGGGCTGTTGCTCTGGCAGCTTTACTCCACGGGGTCAGTTTCAAACCCTTGCCTGACTTTGCTACCATCTATGCAATTTAAAACATTCTCTCTAGTCTTCCTCCCTGACATACTTACAACTTGAACCCGACAATGCCGACAATGCCCGCCATGAATCACCAGTGCTGTCCGGCATGTTGGGGCACCGTGGGACCTTTTGCCTACTTTGCGATGAAAGCTGGGGGTTTTGAGCTTGATAAAGTTGCGGGTCTGGGCGCTGAGTTTAAAAGCTCCAAATTCCAAACCAGCACGTTGCATTTTCCTGGTGTGTCCGGGTAGCTCATCCGAGCTGGTGACGAGCTTCACCTAGTAGTTGATGACGAATAAGGCTGATTAAGGGTTCCGGGTTAGTGGCATGGTGTTTGCGGGGGTGGGGGAGAGGGGCTGCAGGCTTAGGCGTTTGCAAGCGTGATTTTGGCGTTGCGTGACGCCCAGCTAAAGGCCAATGCTCAGGTTTGCAAAATGTCTCGTCTCAGACTTCGAGAGTCTCATCGCTGTGGAGGTGAAGGATGCGGGGATGGGACAGTCTGCGTTGGGGCCTGACGCATCAACCCAAAATCACATGGTATACCCCCTCTGTCAGGCAAGAATGACTAGACCCTTACCTGCGTCGCCAGGCACGTCCCAACATCGTCAACCATGTGCACCTGACGCCTTGCTCCTGAACCCCAACCCTGAATGCTAAACCCACTGTGCGAGGGTGCAGCTGGCCTGACTGCCTCGTCCCGAGCTCGTGTTGTCGCTGCCTACATTACTGCGACAGTATAGAAATTCCACAGTAACTGCACTGAAAACTGCCGTCGCTGTCTACATTGAGTCTGCAATATCGCTACAATAAGCAATCCAGAGGTAGACGATTTTAAAACCCAGGCGCCAAACCCCAAATCCGGAATGTCGTCCAACAAAACAAATGGAGCGCAAGGCACCGGCCAACCCGGCAATCCGCAACTTGCAGCGCGTGTGGTGATGGTGAGGCCTGGTGGTTGTAGGGCTGGCAAGGTCTTATGGTGCGAGGCACAGTCACCTCATGCTGCTCCACATGCCGTTGCCTGTGTTTTGTTTCTGTCCCATTCCCCAGCGTAAACCCCACTGTATTTAGACAAAACCCTGTGTTGGCCTCCGTACTGTATGGCTATATGCACGTCCTCCATGCTGCTGCAGGACTCGGGCTGGGAGTGCAAAAAAAATGCAGCATTGAGGCCCCAGACTCCAAACACTCAAGCCAAGCTAATGAGAAACAATATTTTTGCGCTCTCCCGGCTTTAGGCTGTAGCTGTTACATGACAGGGCTTAGGGTTTCAACTGCATTGAGTTTTAAGGGCTTAAGCGATTAAGAAAAATTGAGTGTCATCGTGATAATGCACACCTATTTTGTTTCTATACCCCTGGGACGACCTTTACATTCACTTTACGTGGAATTTCTTCTTTGTTTTCAACGCATCTCAAATATGGCAGTGGGTCAAAATTCGGGTTGTCACGGGGGCTCCCCCCCCCCTCTGCTACAAGCCTTGTCGCGGGCAGGTTGTTTCATACCTTTGTCGCGCGGCTACTTTGAGCCCAATTTTCTTAGTTGGGCTTTGTAAGGGTTTAGGGTAAAGGGTTTAGGTTTAGGGTTGGGGTTTCGGATGAGGGGTTTAGGGACCGTAGTTACTTTACCGGAGAGCCATTAAACCCTGAACCCTGTAAACCCTGGGCTTCTCGTTCAAGGTTGTCCTACGGATGGGCACCTGCTGGCTCGAGCAGTCGCGCGGGTTGTCACGGGCATGTCGCGCCCTGTCGCAGGCCTTGTCGCGGACTGAGAGTGAAAGTTGCTGCAGACACGCATCAAGGTCGCATCGAGATTGGCAATGAGAAAATTCAATTGCGCTGGTGTCTTGTCGCGGGGGGGGCGGGATTGTAGCCTTGTCGCCGGGGGGGTTGTCGCGGACGGGGCCCGTCAGTTACAAGCCTTTGTCGCGGAGGGGCCCCCCGGTACCTGTTACAAGCCTGGAAAAAACTCACAGCCATATAACCTCAATTGCAAAAGCACACGATTCAAGATGTCTTCGGCGCCATTGATGAAACTGGATTGAGATTCGAACCAAAGAAACTACGTTAGTCATATCACCACGGCCCCCTTTACTTTTGTACATTGGGATCAGTGGGACGCAAACCCGAGTCTGAATGTTTGAGAGAAACTGTTGCCACACTTCACGCTCACTAGACACATCCGCCGCCGTCGCCTTGCAACCGGTACGTCTACGAAGAGATTCTCGGAAACCACGCTGACGACAAACCTGCCAAAAAGGCAGACGAATCACCCGTAGCGTCAGCATCATTGGCGTTGCTTGCCAAAACTTCCCACCTGCTCTTAGCCGCCCTTAATGTAGTCGACGCTGTCGTGCGGCGCTTAAGCAAATCGCTTTCCTCTGGAGCGCCACGACTGCGAGCTGCCAACGTAGCTCAGCCTCGCGAGAGATTTGAGCTCCTTTTCGGTCCCTCGGAACCACGGACGATGATCCCTGGCCGGGACAGACCCTGCAATACGAAAGGCTACGCGCTTGAGCAAATCCGCAACCACATCCCAACTTAAATAATGACCCTCAATCGAGTTGAAGTCAGCCCCGACAGCTTCCGCATAAGTCTGCCTTCGCGCGATCGCCTCAGTGGAACCTCCCCACAAAACGAAGGAGATCTGGCTTGTTTGCACCTGTCGGGCTTCCGATCACTTTTCTTCTAGTCCAGGCCCATAACCAAAATGAGCTCAACTACTGGATCACGGTCGGTGTGCGCTAACCAGGGAGCGCCAGACAAAAATGCAAAGGACGTCCTTGCACTCCTCGAGAGACAGCAAGTGACGTACTGACTTGACCCAACGACGAACAGAAGAAGCGACCAAAGAACAATCCAGTTTGCGCGCTGGTCTAGCGGGGCGACGCCGACAAGAACGACGCAGCGCTGCTGGCCTCAGAGGTCTATGTCTCTGCGTAACACTTCCAACTGCGTCGGCACGCAGTCAGGGGCGGTTTGAACTTGACATCAAAGATCTTGACATCCTCAACGCGGCCGCCGACTGCGAAGACCCCCTGCAGGTCCCCCGCCGAAACTTCCCCGAAGACTTGGTAGAATTCCGCTTTGATAGTGTCAGCACGCACTTTATCCTGCAAGGCTGCGATGGGCTTCCATAGAACCTCCGCCATGTCCTGCTTCAGCGCGGACCTTGCGTGGTCTCCAAGCCAGGCACGCGCTCCGTCTTGAACTTCGAACATGCGCCCGCCTGCAACGTCACGACTGGCAGCTATGATTTTTCCACGGTTCTCTTGCAACGCAGCTCTGGCTGCAGCCTGCAGCGATGTACGTTCTATCCACCAAGACCTTCAAACCCTGAGAGTTGGCCACACGTTCCACTCATCAGCTGCGAATTTCTCACACGCATGCATCCAATCAACATTGGAAGGGTCGTCGAATGCCTTGACAGATGGGCTCAGCCTTGCTGGCTGCACATCTTGCAAACCCAAATTGATGCCTACGACCTGCTTTCGGAACTGTCGATTGAGGACGGGGTCAGGCAGCGAAAGCACACACGAGAAAATGTTTGCAAGCAGTGCTGGCGAAGCTTCCTCAAGTCAGTGCCTGAAACACCCGGCGCCAGGAGGCACAAGTATTTACCTCCCCTGACTCGGATTTTGGGGCTTAGGAAAGTGCAACCAGAAAGAAAGCCCCACAGCACCATTCGAAACTTGATCAGCCCGAACGGTAGTAGCAGTGGCATCGCCAGGCAGAACAAGTTCGTCCGTGCGCAATAGGGCTGCACCCGCATGATCAAGGCTACTCTCCCACTTGGCTCTGGACAAGGAGGCACTGGTGTTTCCAGTGAGGGGAGTGCATCATGTGATTGAGAAGCTCGGAGCTGAGGCACCACACGCTGAAGACCTTTGCAGGCACTGTTTGTCTCGACCAGGCGGCTCCACGTGGAGGTACTGCCAATCGCTGCTGGATGACGGCCGCCCATTTTCCACTTGTCGCCACGCGATCCTTTGTTACCTCGGATGACACCCCCCCCCATCCCTCCCATACCACTCCCCCCTCTCACCACACCCCCAAATCAATTGAAATCTATTTCAATACTTTCTGGAAAGGTCCAGAGTAATATGAGCAAAATCGATTTTGAATGCTTTTGCGATGGGCAGCAAGTAACATCGATTTTAATACTCTCTGGAGGGGCCCGGAGAGCAAAATGAATTAAGATCGATTTTGAATCCTTTCATTATGGGAAGCCAAAAATTGATGTTAATACTTTCGGAGGGGTCCAAGAGAGCAAAATGAATTAAAAACGATGTCAAGTGCTTCTGAAGCATTAACCTCTGGACCACGGCATTAAAATCAATCTTAAGTCATCTCCAAGGCAAAACTCAAGATGGTATTAGAATCGATTTCAATTGATTTGCTACGTATTCAAATCGGTTTTAAATTTAATACGAAGCTAAAAACGAAATCCAGACTCAATCCTCCTTCGAACGCACAATTAAAGATCACTGTCTTCAAATCATCTCCCGCGCGCCGCGCAGCAGATCTACTCAACGGTTACAACGTCATCACCACCCTCATCTTAGCAAGCGCCGCGTTGAACTCCGAGCGACTGGGAAGGGGCAAGGTCCTTGTGAACCGTTGCAGTGACTTTTTTCCTCCCTCCTGAGCCACAATGGCTACACCTCCCCGCTTGAAGTCGCCACGATCCGCCCTTGCGTGAGAGATCGTGAGAGCAAAAAACTTCCCTTGATAACACACGGAGACCTGAAGTAAGTTCAGAGCTCAAGAACCTCCCAGTTTTTGAAATGCCCCAGCTACGTAGTCAACCTGCAGCCTGAGGCAGCACAAGCCTTTCTTGAAGAACCTTGAGAAGAGTGTGAGGAGCAAAGCGAAGTTCAGAGAGGGGAGACAGGGGTTTCAGGGTTTGGGTTTCAGGGCTCTAGATAGCCTGAGATGGAAAACAAGCCGGGAACCCTGAAGGCAAAGCCTCAAAGTTTCTATTGAAGCTCTACACAGCCAGGAGCTGCCTTCGAAGTGCTCCTGCCAGCTGCCTTGAATCTGACGCTGGCGCTCGAGCCTCACACCGCGCCGTGGAGAAATTTAGCAGTTGATGGTAGCTTGGGGTCTCGAGTTTCGGTCCTGGGGCTCGGAGAAGTTTAGGGATTTTGGTAACGGGCCGCCGACTCGGTGGGATGTAGGATGCGGCCCGAAGTAAGACTAAGTCCCAAGTCTGTCACAAGAGCGGCAGAATCGCACAAGGCCCAGTCCACTCCAGAAGTCATGATCGCTTATTGCCAATCCATACGCGATGCATGCAAAGATCCGATAAAGCTCCAAGCAATGTCAAAGCCTAAACCTACCCTAGGCTTTCAACTCCAAACCCCAGACTCTACAACCTCTCTCCTGGCCAAATGGCACAATGACGTCCACTCCCCTCTGCACCAGAGCCGCAGCGGTTGCCAGGCCTTTCAGCAGTGGCGTGGGATGGGGATTTTCCAAATGCCAAGCTCTCAACTGCTTTCGTTCAGTTTTTGGGAGGCCAAGAGAAGAGGCCAGTAAGGGCAAACCATCAAACGGCTTCCCCATGGCACTTTGTGCCTCCAAAGAAACCGAATCGCCAATGCTCCCGTCATGGAGACGAAATCGGGGCTCGATGGGATACCCCCTTTACCTTTTGCGGGCCCGGTGGCCGGATGGGCCAGCTCCGATGACCACCACATCGGCCCGATGTCCTCAATCCGCTCGGGGTTGGTTCTCTCTGTTGTTGAGGTCTTCTCTCGAGGAGTTCTTGGAACTTCCAGCTGAGAAGAGGGCGCGTGGGATACGGGGAGTAAAGCTCGGGAAAGTCTGCTGATTTGGGAAGTCTGGGCCCCCCTTGAAGCCCTGGAACACCACACGCCCCGAACATCCTCAAACCCATTATAATTGTTGGGATATTGCTATTGTTTCCACTGTTCTGACTATACTATATGACAAATATACAACATAGTACAACCCTGAACCTTGAAACCGTCGAGGTGAGCTGCCCTGCCGCGGGCCGCTCGAGCTTGTGGCTGGCTGAGGTGGCAGAGAGAAGCCCATCTCCAGGGCAGCCTGCGCTGCGAAGCTGTTTTTCAGGTGGCCTAAAAAACCCTCAACAAATAACCCCAGAAGCCTGTCGGTTTTTGTGCGCGTACCCTTCTTGCAAGATTCTTAGGCCGGCTACAAAGGTTTTGCGGCTTTGAGGACTCAGGAAAACTGACTTGGGGTTAGGGTTGCGAGGTCAGCTTTGTTGGTCGGTCTTTGAGGCTTAGAGTGTGAAAAGGTCTTGAGGTTCAGTGATTCTTCTGTTTCGGTTTGCAGAGGCTGCCAGCAGGACTTAGGGCTCAGGGCCTGGGGTTCAGGATTTTGGGTTTGCGTTTGGGTTGAGTTAGGGGTTTCTCATGGGGTCTAGCCGAGTCTACAGTGTTTTGGTGGACTTCTTTCACCACAAAGCCAGTGCCCCACTGAGGCCAACTTCTCGTCTCGTAGGTTGCTTCAGCTGCAAACCTTTTTGCAGCAACCGTAGCCAACAAGCTGCAACCTTGATAAGCTCAACCCCTCAGCTCCAAACCTCACTCTTCTGGACTTCTTGAGCCTCAGGCAAGCACCAGGCAACCATCCGCATCTTCCAACAATGCCTTCAGCCGCCCTTACAACCTTGCCTCCCACTGCGTGGACATCGCGTCCACGCACACTTCGCCCAGCTCGTCCTTCCTGGCAGCTGGGATTTGAGGGCTGAGCCTAGAGCTCTAAACCCTGAACATCCCTGAACATCCCTGAACTCAGCGGTGCAGGATGCTTGGGGCCATTTAATGTAGGGTTTGCTTTTGCAGGGTGTTTCCGGGGTGCTGCCTGGATCTGATTGGGCTTGTACTACCCTGCAACGAAGGTGCCAGTCCGGATTCGCCGCTGTGACAATTCCGGCTGCATGGCAGGCATAAATCTCCTTAGCACACTTCTTCGACTTTGCCGATTGACAGCTCGGGCTGTGTTTCAGTTTGATATGTGTACTTCAATCTAAACTTTGAATCCCTGTCTTTGCGGACCGTCAGTGTGCTGTGTGAGTGCTGCCTGTATTCTGAAGTTGCGGACTATTACGCCTAGGCCTGCAGCATGGGTAAGGTTGAACACTGTACCTCTCGCGTGCCTCTGCGTGCTGGACTGGTAGGCCTACATGAATCGAATCCCTAGATGTTTAGCAACTTTCCGCAAATACCGGACGCAGACAGCCGAAGCATTGCATCCGGGTGGCATTGTCGGCCAAAAGATTGGAGAACTGTCTTGGCTTGGCCAAGCGCGTCGGGTCCAGGTGGAGAATGCCTCTGGTGATTCTGCGTTGGGGTTCATGGGTTCAATATCCTCTCCATATTCTCTGCTCCTTTCACGGCATTAATCACGGCCCTTGGGGCATTGCACGGTTTGGACATGTCCTGACTGAGGGTGGTTTAGGCACGCTAGACTGAACCGTGTCGGAGACTTGGGTTTTTTGTTGGAAAGAAGCCCACCCTACAATCCCAACAATGCCCCACAGTGCGTATGGTGTGCTTAGGGTGGGGCGCCCGTGCCTCCAGGTACCCAGACAACATCCTTGCGTCCGGACTCCTCTCAAGCTGCGTGGGGATGTGGCCCAGGGTTCTTTTGGGAGGGCCTCAGCCTTCAACTGGCTCGGCAGACGGGCCTGCCGGCCCTTGCACGAACATGCGTGACTTGCCTTAGACCCTCCTGCCTTGCGTAGCTTTCCCCCCTCTATTCGATAAAGTCCTCCAGCGGGTTCGGCACGCTGAAGACCACAGCTCGGGAGCCACGAGGCAAATACTGCGCCACCCTTGAGGCACAAGTGAGAGGATCATAGGGATCATAGGGCATCCCCGAGTCTGCGTTTGAAGGGAGAGACTGTAGGTTGAAGGTCTTAAAGGCCTTGAAAAGGCTTTTGGGGCAGATTTTGGGGAAGCCTGATCATCCATAAACCCTTTCCAACAGATCTCAGCCCAAGGCCCCACGCGGCCCTTGCAAGGCAAGTCGTGCTTAACCCCCACGATGCAAACCACCCAAACCAACATCCTCCAGAAATCTTCGAAGGCTGGCCTGGAGTCGTGCTTCCCGATGATCCAATGCGTCGTGTGCACGCCCTCCACCAGGGCCGTTGTCACCTCGAAGGGTGGTGAGGCATAGCAGGGCTTGCAAGGGTCTAGAGCTCGCGCGATTTGCGATGTCTGGGGGGCTGTTCAGATTCTGCCTCTAGGCTACTGGCCTCTCGCAACATATTTGCGCTGACCCCCACGCCTTTGGCACCTGTTTTTAGCCAAAACTCTCGCATGGGGCTAAGAATAACCTTCCCAGAGCCACTTGCGAAGCTCTTAACCAAAGCCGCTCACCCGGAAAGCCACTCTTGCTCCTCATGGTCAAACACAACAAGCCCTAAAAGCCCTAGAGACCATGCACTCGATCTCTACTTTCAGGGGCCGATGGTAAAAGCTGGGTTCAAAGGAGTCTAAACGGGGCATCTCGGCTTTGGGCATCGATTTGTGCTTCTTTGCAAGGTGGACTTGTGAGCCTTGTGGGATTTTCATGGATAGCAACCGAACGATTTCAAGGGCGGAACTCTTCTGTTCGCGGGACCCCAAAAAAGTAAACACACACACACACACACACATGCAAGCCTCCGGCCTGAAGGTTGGTCGCCAAGTTGGCGCCGAGCTGCTGTGCCTTGGCATCCAATCGCCGGAGCCTTCGAGACTTTTCGCGGTTGCCACAAACTTGGGGCTTGCGAGGACTTTCTTTGCAGATCCCCAAACCATCTTTAGGGTGTCCAAGGTGGGAGCTCTTTGCCCCCTAACCTCCTGAGCCCTGAACCAGGCTGGGCTGGCTGTCGGGGACACGTACGGCGCCCGTACGATGAAAGGTCTTTTGCACATGTTTTCACGAGGCTATCGATAGTGGGTTTCCGGTTTCGGGCTTTTACAGGAATTTCAGGGCGTAATGCCTCACATTTTGGGGGTCAAGTGGCCAGCAAACAAAATCACCAATCACCTCTCACCACATCGTTGCGACTGTGACAAGGAGTCACAAGAATCACAACTGATCCTGGTTGAGTGGGCGGTCGTATCTGTGTTTCTCCAGCCTGACTGGCTGATTGTGGGAAGCGTACAACGATACAAGTCACCGCCGGCTCGGCAGACTACAGGGTCCAATTGTGGCATGCTTGGCCGGAAACCCTACGAATTCCATTTGTCAAAAACCTAGACCATCCTAGGTCCAACAACCATAATAACATGTGAGAACGCCATAGGCACGAGAGCCCAACACCCCAAGGGCCTCTCGGGGTCACTGGAGTGCGCCAGGACCGGGTAGCCGAGCTGCAGCAAACGCAGCGCCACAGCAGCACCCACTTTGCCTCGGCAGAGGTTTGTAGGGCTTCAAGGAGTTTATGGCTCGGGCCTGTCGCATGCAATTGCGGCTCTGTGTCCTCAAGATCAGGCACAATTCCAGCCCTGAGGGTATTTTGAAGCTGTGGCTACAGCTTCTTTGTGCGAACAACTTGGAAACGAGTAAACTTCAGTGTAGATCAGAAGCCTTACTTTCGATTGACCTGTTTTGCGCCAGGGCGCTGGAGGCTCCGGTGACAAAGATCGGCGCCGTCACCGAGCTCACAGGTCCGAAAAGCGCACTGGCAGCCTGGCTAGCTTTTCTTTCTCGGGCGACATCGGTCGTTATCTGAGATGGTTTAAGCGGCATTGGATCTTGAAGTGGCTACCTTCAAGTGGCGAACGCGCCCACTCATCGAAGCGAACCGGCGCATCTTCAACAACTCGAACTTCGACCTCTCGAGCATGCCACACCTTGCATGCTGGGGTTGTGGGACATCCGAGAGAACCAGATGCGAGGTGCCTTGATTCTGGAGGTCCGTAAACACAAACTCTCGCAGCCTCCACGACAGCTGCAGCTGTGAGCGTGTTGCCGTGCACAAGCCGCACTCCTTGGATCCACATGACAGCCTTACTCCAGCTGGGAAGCCCTGGAGACCGAATCCTGCACTTTCAACTTTAAGCACCGGATAGCTCCGAAGTCTCCAGAGCCCGGGTTTTCGGGCTTTCGACTCCAGCATACTCCAGCTTCGTAACCTGCAGACCGAGGCACCGCCACCGAGGCCTCGCAGCAGTGCCAGCCCGCCTCGGTAAATGCGAGGCTGGGGTTTGATGATTTTCTGCGTATATGCGGCAGCAAGAAAAATAGCAAGGAATATGCAACCTGTAATCCCCTGTACTCCGAGAAGACAAAGCACAATTCTCAGGCCCTATCCATCCCCCTTCCCTGACTTTCGGGCAGAGCGCCGTTGTTCATCCATTCTGCCTTGTTCAGGGCACCCAGGGAAAGGACCCGCGCCCCCCTCTCCTCGGCCATGGCCGCGCTTTGGGCGATCCGTGCCTGGAGAGATGAATTCTCAAAGTTGGCGTGCGCGGCTCTACTGGGCAGTTCCCAAAATGTGCAGATGGGTTCACGTGTTTGCGCTTCATCACTCTCTGCTTTCAACCTGCATCGCAACCTGCATTTAACAGGCTAGATGCAGCGACGAAGGATCGAAACGGCCATAGCCTTGGCTGTAAACAGTTGAAACAACAAGGCGAGTGAGCCCCGACCCGCCCTACACTCTCGACTCCCAGAATGCGCGGCTACAACGGTGCTACAACGCTGGGCTGCCGCGGAGCAGGTACTGGTAGCCGAAGCAGGCTAAGACCCAGTTTTGCATGTGCACATTGGCATACGCCACATCCTCCGCGACCTCGAAACCCTGGCCGTTCCTTGCTCGGCTTGGGGTTGGCAAAAAATGGTTGGTCGACGATATGGTCAATCCCATAAACGCTTATGGAACCGAGGCATAGCATGTTTCAGGACTGATTGTACATGAAAGCAGAACCCAGAAGCCGCAGCAAACACAGAGCAAAGTACACTGCTTCGATGCCTATAGCAACACATCCCCTTCTTAACTCGCTGATCAAGGCCAGAATCCGCAAGAGTGGCCACAAGAATGGGATGATCAGGGACAGCGGAGGGCCGAAGAGGTACATCCTTGGCCGGAGGGTTCATACAAAAAAAACAAAGCATTGGCCTTAAAGGTCTTCTCGAACCTGCTTAGCGGTCCAAAACATGTGCAGATCCCAAACTCCTGCTCTGGCTGAGGCCCCAAGTGTCCACCACGAAGGAGCCCAGCCACTTTTCGATCCCCGAGAGGCGCTGGGCCACCAGAGGCTAAAGAGCGAGCTGGGATACCTGAGATTAGGATTCCGGGGTTGGGCTCAGGATCGAAGGGCTTGGGGCGTGAGGAAGACTCCACCACCCTTAAACTGCCTGATGGATCCTGTCTGGGTGGGCACTCCTGCAATCGTCCCAGACACGGCGGATGCGAGAAGAAGACGACGTCCAGCTTCGATGTGCTGGGGTCTGGAGCTTTCGCGAGTAAGGAGCACACCTGCGCGTGCACAGGCTTCTCAGCTCCAAAACTTGTATCGGTGCGCTCAGGTCCATCAGTCGCATGTAGCTTGCTGTGGGTCTAGGCAGCGACCCAGCTCCTGTTACTCCTGCTTCGCTAGATCCGAAAGCCTCAAAGCATAGCCATTTTCCCCAAAACAAGCTGGTCGGTGCTTGTTCCAGCATCATGCTTCAGCGGACAGTGCGGCCCCAGTACGTGGGAGTTGACAACCCCTGTCACTCGGGTTGGGTCTGGGCTTCACCCAGCATCTTCGATCATTCAGCATGGCCGAGGAAAGCTTCAGGTTATCCGCGGTTTCTCTTGACTGGTATTCCGTTTGTAAAGCACGTACAGTGTCTCCAAAAAGGGGCCTTGGCAAAGGCTCTCCGTGGAGACTTAAACACAAGGCAGCTCCACTGAAACCCGCGATCAGCCTGGCAGCCCTTGCTTCCGCAGCATGCCGTTGGGGTCGCCTCGGCTTTAGGGAGACGCTTCCAGAGGGGTGAATTTCAGGTTTTGTGCACGCAGTATGGAGGGTACTGTCTATAGAGAGCAACGGTTCTGGATGGCATCAAGGAATCACGGGTTTAAGCTTTTTCAGATCGAATTTCCCAAGCTTCTTTTGCCGCGCGACAGGAGCCTCCTGCCGATACAGCGCCGCGCGCCACGCTTCGACAAACCTCGTTGAAAGCAAAAGTGGACCCTGAATTGGGCAGTCCCAACCCAGACCAACAGTCGCAAAGGCCAGTTCAAACCAACGGTTGCATGAGGCATTATCAGAAGCTCGCCATGTTTAACCGTGGGCCAAGTCGCAAAGTCGCGGTGCTCCTCTGCGTTGCTTGGTTGAGAGCTGCGTGCACCACCCAGAGCAGAAACCTCGGCTTCGGAGCTTGGGTTGAACCCGGGCGCGGACTTCTCCTCCTCCCTACACTGCAACGGAGGGTATATGCCTCCAAACTGCCAAAGAGCTGTGCCCAAATGGAGCGGCGCCAGTTGATATTCTGAAAACAACCTACAACAACCAAAAAACTAGACAGCAAAGCAATGAAACCCCAAACTGTAAGATTCCAAACAACGGCGAGAGCGGGGATGTGGAGCCCAAAGGCTTGAAAATAAGGAGGTCATTTCCGCAACTGAAACGTTGTATTAAACTCCTGGAACCGGCTGCGCAGTCGAAAATTCTTGGGCTGTTTAGAATTCGAGCAGAGGGAGGGGTTTGCTGGATTTGGCAAGATTTTCGGGCGGTCAGCTTTTATTTTTTCATTGGGCGCGGGCGGTGTTTTTAGGGTTTGGGGCATAGGGTTTGTGTCCCAGGTTTGGAAGGGTTGGGCAGAAGGTTTTCGGCTTGAGGTGTTGTTGTTGGGTTTGAAGCACCTTTTGGGTTTGGGCAGGAGGCTTTTCGGGCTAGGAGGGGGGGCGGAGAGGGAGGGTGGGGAGGGCATCAGAAAAGGGGTTGCGCTACTTGTAAGCAGCGTTCGATGTCAAGTGCTTGGAACCCTGAAACGGAGCATTTAATTGAAGAATGTCGTTGCTTCAACCGTACACCTTGCTCAGAGTAATTATACCAGAAACGCTGCTTGTCAATCTTGGACAACTGTTTCGGTTCTAAAATACACGAGGGCATACGGCGAGGTGCAAAGCCTGCGTTTAGGGATTTTAGGGTGCAGGGCGTAGGGATTATGGTCTTATAGGGATTGTGGGCTAGGGATGTTATAGGGTCTAGGGATTTTAGGGTTCAAGGATTTGGCGGTTTGGGACGTAGGGGATTTGTCCCCGCGGGCTTGCGACGGACGGCGCCGCCACCCGGTCCTACTTCTGCACATCGAAGCGCGGCAACGGACGGGGCAAAAGAAGAATCGACGGGAAGAAAAGAGAAGAGAAGAGAGAAAAGACAGGAAACGAGAAGGCAGAGAAGAGAAGAGAAGAGAAGAGAAGAGAAGAGAAGAGAAGAGGAGAGGAGAGGAGAGGAGAGGGGAGGGGTGGAGTGGAGGACCACGGACCCGGAATACCACGCCTTCACCGCGCTTCCCTCCGCGCAATCCAGCATAGGCGGAAGACGCCAAAAGAAGGGGTGACGGATCCAACACCATGCCAATGGATCAAGAAAATAAGGATCACCATTTAATAGTACTATTTCAATATTTCCATTTGAAAACCTGCCTTGTTTTCACAGGAAATCCTCTATTTTCTCTATGTTGCCATGGAAAACTTCTATTTTCTTTGCACTCCAACAGAAGATGTCTATTTCTTTATTCATAGGATATCCTCTACGTTGCCATGGAAAACTAAAATTTCTCTATATCTCTAGACAAAATTCTTCTCTGTGTTCCAATGGAGACCGTCTATTCTCTAAATTTCGAGTAGTCAGAAGCAACGCCACATCCTCTATTTCCTCTAACTTTGCATAGGAAATCCCTATTGTCTCTGTGCCACAATGGAAAATGTCTTCTAAGCAATCTTGATGGATTTGGTAAAGATTCCTTTGCGATTTTAATGTTGAACCTTATCAACCTTTAAAAGCAATGAGAGCCATGGTTTCTATCGTACGCCAACGTGAGGGCGCGGGCATGGGGAGCTGCATGGTTCAGGGTGCAAGGGGGCGCGGATTCGGGGCGCAGGGGGCGCAGGTTCGAACCGCGGCAGGCGCGGGATCAGGACGTAGGGGTGTTCCCTCGCACCCTGCACCGCACCCCGCACCCCGACCCCGCCCCGCGCCCTGCGCCCCGCGCCCCGCGCCCCGCACCCCCCGCACCCCCGGCACCCCGCACCCCGCACCCCGCACCCCGTGCCCCGTGCCCCCCCGCCCCGCGCCCGCGCCCCGCGGTTTCACGGCCCCGCGGCCCCGGCCCCGCGCCCCCCACCCCACCCCGCACCCCGCCCCCTGCACCACTGCACCCCACCGCCGGCACCACTGCACCGCACCCTGATTCTATGCTTGGCACCCATGCAACAGAGCATTGCTCTTCAAGTTTGGTAAATTGAACCACTGACAGCTCGTGACGTAAATTGACGACGGTCGGACACACGCGGCATCTCTGGACCAATCGAAACCGGCAACAAAAGATTAATCTCGCCACGCGTGTCAGAGACAGAGATACTCCTTTGGACGCCCAAAGTGCGAGGGGCAGGAGACCGAGATCTCCCACGTTCTCGTTTTGGACGAGAACTTGACGAGAACACTCATGCAAAACAGAATGAGAAAAAGAAGTGTCCAAAGGTTGTCGCTGCTGCACCCCTAACAACACAGGCACAGAAGTGGGCACAACAGGTGCACGCTCCTCAGAGTGCGTGGCTTGGCCCCCCATTGTCACAACTTCATAATCCCAACTGACAAGGGGGTCCCGGGCAACCGAGCCATTTTCAACATCAATAGAAAAATCAATAGGGACGGCCATTCAAAATCAATAGGGAAAGCCATTCAAAGTCAACAGGGAATGCCGTGATATACGGTGGAACTTTGTGTTAAGAAATTTTATGAAGCAAGAAATGAGACTCTCGAATTGAGAAAAATAATTATATTCAGAGTCTGAATCGCAACCCAAACGTAATTACAAATTGAATGGCCTTTTTGCAAGGCTCCAGCTCTCCAGCCCTCCAGCCCTCCAGCCCTCTCCAGCCTCCAGCCCTCCAGCCCTCCAGCCCTCCAGCCCTCCAGTGCTGGGTTTAGGGTTTAAGGTTTAGGGTTTAGGGTTTAGGGTTCAGCATCTCAAGTTCGAGCATTTACTAGGCCAGCAGTGTGTTCAGGCAACGGAAAAAAACCCACCCGCCCAAAGAATCCCATAACATTAAGAAAATAAAAGGTTTTCTTCCTACTCCAAAGAGTTTTACCTACCCGAGTCAGACACGTTTTCAACAACATTAGGAAAAATGTCCAACCTCCTTCTTCTCTAGGCACGTGGTCAACAGAATGGATTTGTTAACCACATGTTTCTGTTTCGAGCGGACAAGAAAACCAAACGTGGTCAACAGAATGGATCTGTTTATCAGATTTGGAAGCCATCTTGAGTTTCTTGAATCGATTGAGGGGCTTCAGGGGCCTCAAAAACAGGCGCGGTCATTCGGGAACTTATTCTTTGGAAGCCATCTTGAGTCTCTTGACTCTTTTGAGGGGCTTCAGGGGCCTCAAAAACAGGCGCGGTCATTCAGAAACTTATTCGGGTGGTGGGGGGTGGGGTGGGGGGGGTTGGGTGGGGTGGGGGGGGTGGGGGGGGGTGGGGTGGGGGGGGTGGGGTTGGGGGGGGGGGGGGGGGGGGTGGGGGGGGGTGGGGGGGGGGGGGGGGTGGGGGGGGGGGGGGGGGGTGGGGGGGGGGGGGGGGTGGGGGGGGTGGGGGGGGGGGGGGGGGGGGGGGACCTTGGACCCTTGCCCGCTAAATATATGACCTTGCCCGCTAAATATATGACCTTGCCCGCTAAATATATGACCTTGCCCGCTAAATATATGACCTTGCCCGCTAAATATAGGACCTTGCCCGCTAAATATAGGACCTTGCCCGCTAAATATATGACCTTGCCCGCTAAATATATGACCTTGCCCGCTAAATATATGACCTGGCCCGGGCCATATATTTAGCGGGCAAGGTCATATATTTAGCGGGCAAGGTCATATATTTAGCGGGCAAGGTCATATATTTAGTGGGCAAGGTCGCCCTTTAGCGGGCAAGGTCATATATTTAGTGGGCAAGGTCATTTTTTAGCCAATGGACCTTGCCCACTAAATATATGACCTTGCCCGCTAAATATATGACCTTGCCCGCTAAATATATGACCTTGCCCGCTAAATATAGGACCTTGCCCGCTAAATATATGACCTTGCCCGCAAAGTCATTAACATTTATATTATATATGAAAGAGTGGTTTAGGGTTTAGGGTCGGGGTTTAGGGTCCCCCTCCTAGACCTGTCAATCTGAATCCTTTCTTGCTCCAAAATCTTTGGGGCTGGAGGGCTGGAGGGCTGGAGGGCTGGAGGGCTGGAGCTGGAGGGCTGAGGGCTGAGGGCTGGAGGGCTGGAGGGCTGGAGGGCTACAAAACTGGAGGGCGGAGAAAGCAAAGGGTTGGTCAGGTTGAATAAGAAACGTTTTCAAGACTCTCGCCTCAAATCTACCTTTCTTAATACATCTGCCTGGTTAAGAAATGTCCCAGACTCTGGTGGACCTTCGAACCTTTCTTATCATAAGTTTTGACCGTAGAGCCAACAGAACGCATACTGATGAAAAAATCCAGCGAACAGAAGACCACGCCATCATGGCTTCGAAAAAAATCGGAAATCTATGGAGCTTTGAAATTTTGGCAAGATCAAGCTTTGGGTTTTTCAATTCGATACTGGGCTGGCTCATCTCAGTCATCCACGGCGCAGGCACAGACTTGGCTGCCCCGGGACACTTCTCAATCTCTGCGCAGAAAGCCTTCAACAGGATCTCGCCAGCGCTTTCCTTAAGCCCCAGGCCCCGCCCTTGAGTTGCTCTCAGCTCAAAGCAGCACGCAGCTCTCTTTTCACAAGCTGGTTGAATCTTAGCGCCGCAAGTGAAGGGCGGAACCGGATGTCAAGAGCCGTGCGAAGGCCCCAGGCACCCCCCGCCGGGAAGACACCGATGACATCACCCCCTACACTTAAGGTCTCCGGCATCTCTGCCCTGATCTGCATATATCTGCATCTGACGCTTCGCGTCAGCTGAACGCACAGAGCCTCCGATCTGGCGTAGCAAGGGGGATAGATGGCTGCGAGCAAGGGTGTGAAAACGGAGCGCAGCTAAACACGGCTTGCGCTTGACTTCCAACGCCGAGCACGTGCCGAAATCTCCTCCTACCGGAAACACACCCTGGATATCTGCCTCAAAGAGCAGGCGCTGGAACAACTCATTCTTCTGCTCTTCTTTTTCAAGGTCTCTCGCTTGTTACCCTGGCCACGATGGGATCCCAGAGACCAATATTTAGCGACACGCTTTACTGCATAGAGCCCCGCCTGGACTCTGCGCTTGGTTTCGGCCCATTGATCTGCTGTATCACAATGTGTGGCTCCAAGGTACTTGAGAAGACGAGTCTCGAACCTGTGAAGGACACCAAGCTTGGGCCTCCTCCCCGGCACTATGACTAACTTCTCCCTCTTACCTACATGTTCCTGTTGCTCCCAGTCAAGTAACGTCTGCACATAGACAGCCTCAGCAGAATCAGCACCCTCTAACTCGTGACGTGCATCTTTGGCAGTAGGGGTGACCCTAGAATTGGCGCAGGGAGGCGCCGGGGTACTTTTGGGTCTGTGCTTCAACGAAATGGCAATCCCGGGAACGCATTTTCTATGCCAGGCGCAAGCTTGACCAAATCGTCGGCATATCCGCGCAATGAAAAAACCAGACTTCGACAACCTAACATTACAAATTGGGGGCCGCGCCTGTGAAAGCCGTAGGCCGTAGACGATGAGAAATAGAATGCAGGAGCTCAAAAGATGTCATTTGGACATCCTTACAGTCTTGTTTGGAACGCAGCTGGCGCAGGGAAGAAGCACCCGGAGATTAAAAACATGCGTTGGAAATGCACAATCCGTGTTTTCGACTCCGACACGAGGCTACCCGAAGCTGCGTCTGATTTTTTTGACTGCGCCGACAAGCCGAAACCGTGGCCACGAAATATTCCGAAACTGAAACAGGCTTCACGAATCCCGATATCATATCCGATGCCCTGGCGTACATAGCGAAGCCCGGTGGCGGCATAATTTGTCAACACTTCCCTGTGCAAAGAACACAGTGTTCCACGAGTTTTTACTGGCTGGCCAAGATGCCTGAAACCAGTGAGCGCTACATCACTTCTAGCCTAACTCAGTGCTGTTTTGATCAGCCCCTCGCCTTTTGGCAGCCACTGGGGTCACCGAAAAGCAGATGAACTGGATTCACACTACCAAAAGTACGAATTTTCAACTTAGCCTCAGGCTCAAACATGCTAACAACCCGCATGCAAGATTTGCAAGTTAAACAAGGCGGGGAGCAGGCCGTGCAGCGGCAGCAGCCGGCCAGCAGTGATGGGGCTGCCGCTGCGCGTGAGCATGTCTCGCACCTCAAAGCCACCGGTCTCGCTTCTCCCTGAGAAACCATCATCACGTCTTCTTTGGCCTACTGTTTTGGGGTAAGGATAGGGCTTCCGGAGGTGCAGGTCCTTGAGGGTCCTTCCAAAATTCAGAGGGCTTGCAGGTTTTGGGTTTGCAGCCGCGTGCTGAAGACAGCCTCAAGGTGTGATTTCATCACTATCGCAATGGCGCACACTTGGAGGGCGTTTGCATTACTGGCTTTAGCATACATGCATGGGTTCTGGCAACCTATGACAGAATTGCTGTGCTGTTACCCCCCCCCCCCCCGGTAGCCCTATGTTAGCTAGGCATGATTGAGGCGGCCTGATGCCAGAAGAAATCAGGCACGGCACAATCATGATGTGCGTCAGCGTGTCGCTGCCTCTCCAGAGCCAAGCGAGGGCCAAGCCCAGCGCCCTAAACCCCACCAAAGCTCCATTCCCATGCCCTCCCACTCTCTCCCCCCAGCGACTTCTAGGGAGTTTAAAGCTGACATATCACCGATCCTTCGCAACGGGAAATGTGCCTCAACCCTCGGGAAGCTTTACACACATTCATTGATAGGTGATTACAGGTGCGGGTGTGCTGTGTCACTCGGTAGGAGAGGAGCAGCTTTGGGTGGTCTCTCGAGTTTTTGCTTTGCGAGGGATCGGGATAGAGTTACGAGTTGGGCTAACAGGTGCATTCGGGCTCAGATCTCTCTCAGTCTCTCAGCCTCAACCTCGCAGGCTTTGTTTTTAAACGAGCCTTGCAGGAAGAAGCGCAGGGCGCTGACCAGGCGCTGCGCCAGGGTGTCGAAGTGCCAGTGGTCGATCAGCAGCCTCATGATTCCTTGCAGCGATTCGTGGTGGTGGTTCCGCGCGCATTTTCACAGCACAGCTCCGAGTTACCGAGTTTTGAGGAGGTGGCGGTTTAGGGCTTGGGGCGGGATACCAAATCATCGACGCGGCCCAGAGTTCACGGGAAGGCTCATGCGCTCTTCAGGCCTATAGGGCCTAATTATGATGATGGACCTCGTACACAAACCAAGCATTGCAGACTTATATAGCCTGGACAAGAAGCGTAGCTGCTCTGAGACAGAGTCCAGCCAAGGCTCCAAGTGAGGGAGACCACTGGCGCTGCGCATCCCAGCAGATACTGTGCATCTTCACCTCGGCTATTCTTGGAGGATTCTCGGGATCTGCCTCCGGATTCCCCCTATGCCCGCTGAACCTCGAATCGAGAATCGCAGGACCCTATCGTTAGCTAGGCCGTAGCTCCCAAGGACAGCCCCATAAAAACACCTGGAAGCCTCATTGGTCTCTCCTTTGGTCTGACTCTTCAGGTCTGACTTCAAGTGGCCAGGTGGTAGCCCGAAGAGGCCAGGATGGCCAGCTGCGTCCTCGGCGATGTAAAGGCCAGGCACAGGAGCATGCTCACCACCTTTGCAGGGCAGCCTTTTTTTCCAAGGGGGCAATAGATGGCAATAGGCCCCATACACAAGGACGATCCGGTGCTGCTCGTTGTCTTGCAGGGAAAGAGTGCGTGGTCAAACATTTTCCTTCACACTCTGGATCCGTAGAGCTTTGACGTTCGGGGCTCGATTTTGTGCGTGATCAGCTTGCAGCGACGACATCTGACGGGAGGCTTGGCGGAGTTGGAACCACGAGGCGTCCGGTCGAGAATCTTCGATCTTGTGTCCCACGATGCCCTCAAGCTGACTCAAGAGCTTAAGTATCCGAGCTTGTGACAAGCTGCACAAGTCTTGGAATTGCTTGCAAGATTAACAATGGCGGGGCCTTGGGGATAATATCTTCCAAAGATGGCTCTTGCTCACAGCCCTGGTCTACAGCGTTCACACCCAAGAACAACAGTCGTGAAAGTTGAATGCTTGTTGTTGCATCAGGCGTCGGGAGTTGAGTTTTTTGAAGAGATGATTCGTACAGTAGCTTGTGACGAGTGCCATTGCTTTGTGAACCTTGGTTGGTGAATCATCGAACCTTGCGCTTCCAACCCTGAATCCAGAACTCCCCACACAGGTTTCGTCTTGGGATTCTCCGGCCTCCCTCGACCAGTACATCACAAGGACGCCTGCGATGACCCAGTGCTGGCCCTTGCGCAGCATGGAGACCTGGGTTCGAAGCTCTTTTGGGGCCTATTGGGGCCTTGCTTTTGTGAGATTTCAGGACTTCAAGCCAGAAGACGGCTCGCAGACAGTGGCTCAGATGCTTCATTTTGAAGCTGCTTGGGGTATAGTAGGGTTGCTGTAGGCTGACTGCATGCCAAGATAGGACAGAGGGCTCCATAGCGTCGGTCCAGGCGTTGGCAGAATGGGTTGAGCAGGACATTCGCGTGCTGAAGCATGACCCACGCCTGCCGAAGCAAGGGGTTTTCACTTGCAGTGGGCGATGATGTTGTAGGGTCTGGACAAAATCTGGCAGGGGTGATGGTCACGGCTTCTCCCTGCGTTGCCTCGTGCAAAAAGAGCACGTCGTTGCGGATCAGGCCTTCCTGCAGGGAGCCGAACACTGATGGAACTGGACCCTGCTCACTGACCTATCAAATCCTATCAACATGGCGTGCAGTATATAAGATCAGAAATACCGACGACCGTCTTACTCTAGACTGCCATGCTTCGGCCCCCATCCTGGGATCCAGCGCCCAAGTGCAAGACATCCATGTAGAACAGGATCGCGGCATACATCACTGCGCCGATCTGGATAGTGAATGTCGCAGCCAGCATCTGTTTTTGCTCCGATGTTCTGGTGGATGCTTTGCCCTTCCAGAGCTTGCTGCTCTCTTCTTTTAGCAAGTCACAGACCACGCAGCAATCCCCGGCTGGCATGGCAGAATGGCAGCTGGTGTTTTCGCATCTGTGCTTCTTGTGGAAGCCCAGAAGATACCGCCAAGACTCCACGACGAGTGTAGCTGTGCTTTGTTGCGAGACTTGGTTCAGAACCGCATGAAGGAGCCAAACGAGGAACAGGATGTGCAGCCACTTAACGTAGCCTGTGCCCAGCCCGCCATGGTGAATGAGATCACGGACGATGAAGACCTGCAGCTTCTCTCAGGACAGCGCAAACTGACTTCCATCAAACCCATGTTCTGAGTAACGGCTCCTGAATCAGATGGCGTTGAGAAGGTGCTGGTCTTTGTACGGTCACGGGGCGGGGGGGGAGGGGGGGCTTGGATTAGGCCCTGAAAGCTTGGAGTTTGGGGAGGCTTGCCGGACGACATCCTTAAACGACCAAGCAGCGTGCACCATGGTGTCATAACCCTGCCTCAGCTTGGAAGGCATTAGAGGAGCTTTCTGGCTCGGGACCCCCGAGCCAGCCATGAGTTGACTTGTGCACTCCCATTATAGGCTGTGTAGTCGGAGCTCCCCTGTTTGCTTCTGAAAGTAGTGCGGGACCGCAATCTTCCGAATAGAATGATTCTTCGCCGCTGCGGGGCATTCCCGTCAACACTGGTACTCACACTGTTAGGGCTTCAAGGCTGTGGCAAGCTGCAGGGAGAACCGGAGCAGGCTCACGAGCTGGGTTCCCAGTGTCTGGAAGTGCCAATGGTCAATCCTGGGCATGCTCAAGTGTGTAGTGACTGTACACATGTGTACATCTGCATCATATACCTATACACACATACCAGGCAATTCTTGTGTCGCTTCTGAATTGTTTCCTTTCCAGGGCTTCGGACAGGAGAGGTTGGGTTTGGGTGGCATTTCGGAGGGTGCTTGCTTTCGAGCTCAAGGAACGCACCACAAATCGAGCCACAACTCCATCAGGGCTGAGGAATTGAAGCCCTATGTTGGAGGGAAATACCCAAAAAGGGGCTTCTAAGTCAAGGCCAAGGGCAGCAGCTTCATGATCCCGAGGGTCGGGGACCAGCACCTGGGAGAAGGGCAGACCCCCCAATCTCTCCCATTTGACCTCATGCTTCCAGGGTGGGTAGCATACATATTTATATATGCACACACACAAAGCAATAAGCAAATAACAAACTATAGATTTATGTATGTGTTATCTATACATAATTGTGTCGTGCATTTCAACCCCCTCCCCCCTCTCCCCCTCCCTCCTGATATGCAAGAGAGGAGCCGATGCGCGTCCAAGCAAATGTTGAACATCTTCACCTCATCTCCCCCGCATCTTGGGCCCTAAAGTGGGGTCTCGGAGTAATTACTGCCAGGTACCCCTACGACGGGCGAAGGGCTTCGTGATCCAGGGTGAATGTGGGCCATGGGTCTCTACATTCAGAGTACGTCAAGGCTCCAATGCCTTGTGGCAAGCAACTGCCCACCAGCTCTGTCAGCGGGCGTATCTTGCTTAGGGTGGCAAGGGCGGGAGGAGAGTAGGTTTGCCTGAGCTCACAAAGGAATGTTACTTGCATGCATGTAGTTCTAAGGTCAGGCACGGTGTGGTAGATGGTGGACACGAACACGGCAATCTGTGAGTAGACGGTGATGTAAGGCAAGCATAAGAGCCTGTGTCCCCACGCGTCGCCAGGCTCTCAGCTCTAAAGCAAAAAGCTCATGAGTACTCTGATGCTGCAAAGAAGTTTACGTCACGGTCAAGAGCTAAAAACGTGCTGGGAAGTGAGGGATGAGGAGCATACTGGCAACTTCACGCGCCCAGTACATCACCAGCACGCTTGCGATCACCCAATGTTGGCCTTCGACTGGGTAGCATCATGTGTTTTCGAATGCTCGGCACGGATTGTAGTTCATTCAGGGTCTCAGTTTATGGTGGTTCTACGAGTGCATGGTTCTAGTATGTTCTAGTGCTCAGGCTTTCGCATATCTGCATGCCGAAGCGGCCTTTTCGCAGCATGGAGATGCCATATCTTCGATCTAAGCGCTGGCAGAAGGGGTTTAGCAGCACGTTGCCATGCTGCAAGGTCACCCAGGCTTCATGCAGAAGCAACGCCAGCATTGCCTGCACAGCGTCCACTTGACCCCCACAAAGCATCACAAAGCACTATGAATCCCCAGGGCCCCGCAAGTCCAACAAAGCACATCCACAGAAGTCTAACCCAGTTTCGGACCTGGAGCCGTGCCTCTTGATACATGTGCCCCTGTTTTTTGGTACGGCACCTCAAATATACATAGAGTGCCACCAAAGAGAGGGAGCAAAATTTCGAGAACTGACCAGACTCCAGGAATAGCCAAGCCCAAAAGCCACGAGGTCGAGGCTTTCAACACGACCGTAAACTCCAAACTCGGCACCGCCCCGCACCCTCATGCTTTAGTGAAGTTCGGGATCTCTAATGACAACATATGTGAGGTGTACTGGGGGGAAGTGAAAATACACATGCCGAACATTAATCATTACCAAGGCCCCAGGCCTAAACCCACACGGCCCACTTTAGACCGCCCTTTAGCTCTCCGAGCTCTCCGGGTCCCAGACGGCGCGTCCGTAGCCGGCTGGCCCTTCTGCCGATGCCGCCGGGCTCGTTTGCCCAGGCAGGAAGCCCGAGGCCCAGCAGAAGGAGGCATATCCTCTCCGCTCAAAGATATCGAACCCCACTCCCAGGCCCTAGTGAAAACTAGAAGGTCTAAATTGTCTACCATTGTCTTGGCTTCTAGCGCTTCTATGCCCCACGACATGGTGCCCACGACATAGTGCCCATGGGCCACTTGTTGAGGTTACAAGCCGGGATTCCGAGGCAGCCGGTGACGGCCGTAAGCGCCGCTGGTACCCACACGGGTTCGTGCATGGCAAGAGCGCGACAGCGGATTATGGCAGAATATGGCAGATGTGTGTAGTTGTGTGGAACAAGTGTAGCATCGTTGCTCATCGAAGGATCGAAGGTGTGATCCAAATCATAGCTATGGCTCTGCGGTTTGGGCTTCGGGAAGGTCATGGCCGGAGTACACACACTCTACGAGGACTTCGCATAAAGCTCACATGTTTCGCTTTATCGTCTGGAGGTCGTTCTATGTGAGAGCGCGAGGAGGTGCTTTTATTTCTCCTCGATAAATTAAAAATTCAAGCTGACTGGAAGGCCGAAAGGCCTGCACACGCAACATGCCGAACTAGACGCATCTAGATACATTCTTGCCGGGGCTGTGTTGGCATCAGGACGCATGATTGGCCCCCCAATCGAATGTGGCAGGGACATCGCTCCACGAGCCCTCAGTGCCCCTGATCCCTGAAGTGTCTTCAGCCTAAACATCCAAGCCTCTTATGCAGAGCCTCCTGATGCATGAAGCCTGGCCATGTGTAGTCAGGCCTGTGTAACTCTGAGAAAAAGGTTGTGCCATGGGGAGTTGGAAACCTTGAGTCAGCATTCTACACCCCGCTCGATGGCATTTAGGGGCCCTCGGCAAGAGCGGCAGATCTCTTAACAAGCACGGGGAGCACCGGAAAGTAAGGAGGGTTCCCATGTTCGGCACAGGCATAGGTGTCGCTGTCACCAATGATTTTGTCCGCAGCGTCATTTCAAGTCAGCGGTCTGCCGTGCAATCCCCCTGGAGGTCACTTCCATCTGATGCGGAGACTTCGCCCGTAGCAGTGCAGGGTTCACGAAGCTCACAGCAAACTGGTTCACAGGGAAGCCGCCGCTGGTATGCACCAGGGGCTCGTCACAAAGCTTCGCACAAGATGTGGCAGGGTCCCAGCCTTCAAGGAGCGTGGAGCTGGAACCAGCACTGCTCTGTCTGCAACCGGCCTATTTTACTGTAAAAAAAGCTTGTCAGTTTCATGGTATAGAAATCCGGGGCCGAAGAGCCTTGCGCATTGGTCTCCACGTTGCTGCCCACAGCCAGGAAGGTTGAGGCCAGCTTGGTGAAAATGCCAACCTGGAAGGGGCTGTCATGGAACTGAAAACATGACCCTCAACACTGCCTCTTGCAACCCTGTAAAAGCCCCGACCCACCATTTTGAACTCTTGTCCGAATCCTAGCCCTGCATCCTATGGACCTCCAAGAAGCATCCTAAAACCAGGGCTGGGTTTGGGCTGGGCCTCGCGTCGAATGGCCTCTTCCGGGCTCTTCCGATGCCTCGCCTCAGAGGCTGCGGCAAAGCCAAAGTGGACCTGCTCGTTTCTGACTTGGATACTAGCGGATTGGGTCTCTTAAGGCGTAGAGGGTGGGGCGACTGATGCGAGGTTCTGGGTTCTGTGGAGGGTCACAGGCATCACGCGGAAGCTTGTCAGAACGGAACCTTTGGAACCAGAACGATGGGGGACTCTGACCGTCAATGCAATAACAAGGGAGTAAGTGTGCCATGAACCCCCCCTTTCCCCCCCCTTTCCCCCTTGTCTCCAATAGATGGATTTCGCCGGCCTCCATGTCGAGGGTGCGAATTTTCGCCAGGTCAGAGGCGTTCGCCAGCAGAGCTTCCAGTACTGACCACTCAGAGCCTTTTTGAAGAGGCGGCTGAGAGGTCTGCTTCTGTAGCTAAATAATGTTACGTTTCTGCTTTAGTGGTCACTCATCGCTTTTTAAGGCGTCGGGGCTTTGAAGGGGACTGTGCAAACCAACAAAGAGAACAGTGGAGATCAGCGGAGCCTTCGACGTCCATCTTGACATGGACAGAAAGAGGCTTCCGACCCTGTAGCAAGTCCGCGAGGGTGGTGTACGTCCTCCCCTCCAGCACACCGCTATCGGGTCCCAGGCAGATGCGAAAGGCTTCATATGCAGTCTCCTGAGTCGGCACGGTGCGGGACCAGACTACTGTGATTAACCCCACACTTCGACGAGTCGGGTGTGCACGCACTGCGCGCGTGTATGCTGACCGTCAAGATGTAAACACAATTGCCGTCTTGTGGTGTTCTAGAATTAGAATTGTACTCAGATTGAGATATTGGCATATCAAAGGCATGGCGACAACTCTCCAGGAAGGATCGAAATCCTAAGCAGCAACGCCGCTTCAAGGCCAAGCGTCGTAGCAGTGTGACTGTACCCCCGTGCACGGGCCGGCAGCATTAGGTGCCTTCATGGACAGAGGCGGCGACTTGCTGGGATCCTGGCGCGCCCCGAAGCCCCCGAAAGCCCCCGAAGCCCCCGAAGCCCCCGAAGCCCCCAAAGCGAAGCCTAAGCCCGATAAGTTTGCCGGCTTGGGGGCCTGAGAGTCGAGGGGGGTTCAAAGGTTCAAAGAGGCACATCTACGGAGGGCAAATTCCTTCCCCTCACTCCCTCAGAGGGGCTTAAGGGGCTTCTTCTTTACATGAGCGACTGCCAAAACCGGCTGGTGGTGCTAATGGACGCAAAATGAGAAGGTTTCGCTTTCAAGTGTTCCCATCATTTTACAGGGTTTTAGCATCAGTACTCCACGCTTGATGTCGCAGGTGTCGCCTTGGGAAAAATCAAGGCTATAGCACACCCAACGGCTCATTAACTTAGGGGTGTCGCTTTTCAAGTGTTCCCATGGCTTTACAGGGTTTTGGGCATTCGTGTCCACCCCTTACTTACTTGAATGGCTGGGGGTTTTGCACTTGCACTTGCTCACATGCTGACACCCAAGAACTTGACATCCTTATACACCCCAAAGGAAAGCTTGATTGCAAATCTGTGCTCCTGAAAGCAGTCGTACAGCTTCGTGGGCATGTGGAAGAAGTTGCTCATTGTCTCCTCAGGCTCAGGCTGCAGGACTTCCGGTTCTACGTTGGTGTCTGAACTCTAAACCCTACGGTCCTATATATAAGCCCGCCCAAACCGTCTTTCTGAACCCCTAAACTCCCTAAACCCACTAAACCTGTCCCAGGCTCGCTCCAGAGGTCCCGCTCCTCGATGCCGAACGACAGGCCTGGTGTTGCAGGGCTTGCTTGCCAGCAAATGGCATAGTGCCGGGTTAGGGAAGTGGAGGCTGGACGAAGTTTAATAGTGGAGACCCTCCACACTCCTTGTAACTTGGGATAGGATGTGGCATGCCAAGAAGCCCTGGAGCCCCGGTGGGGCATCCGCGAAAGCGGCCAAGCACCATGCCGAGTCCCCAAAGAGCTTGAAGCCTTGGTTTTGTCAGGGTTGAAAGCTTTGTGGATCTTTGTTCAATACCGCTTAACCATCCCCCGCAGAACGTGTTTCAAGAAAGTTTGAAGACATATCGACGATTGGTGGAAACAGGGGAAGTTAATAGTTAACTGCGACACTTGCTCCTCACGTGGGTTTTGGCGCCACGTCGGGCAGGGGGGGTCGCAAAGGCTTCCAAAGGCTGCGACTGGCCGTTGGCAAGCTGACCCAAAAGTTGCGAAGACTTCAAGAGAATAAAAGCCACTCATCAGTCATCAGCAGGGGCCCCGTCTCCCCACGATGGAAGCTCCAGGCCGCAAGCTCCAAATGCCCGCAAACCCCTTCTTAACCTCCAGCTCTGACTTTGCAGCCGAGCCTCAGCACTAGCCTGCACGCCTCTTCGGAAGTCCTCAAAAACAAACGCAACCTTCAACCCTCAAGCTGACCCCCCCAACCCCCCGTTTTTGATCCAAGCAGCCCCCACAAACATCTTCAGACACGTGTGGCGACGGGGTGGCAGACTTCACGATCAGGTCTCCCAGCTCCTTGGCTGCGTTTGTGTACCCCTTCACTCAGAATGGTCACGAGCCTTTCGCCCTCCCCCACCCCCCAAACCACAAATTCAAAGGGCTGCCACCCAAGCACCCAAGTGCAAGTCGCGGTCGAACGAACCACATCTTTTTTAAGTACCGGCTTCGAACCTGTGTGGGTATAGATACGTACATATGGAACGTACTGATATAGACTTTGCTATAATGTAATACTATATACATGCCACGCGCTATTTACTGTATATGCTGTATGCCATATGTACAAGGAAGGAAAAGTGCATAATATATACTGCATATACGGTGTATAATGTGTATGTCAGGTATGTGGCGCATACATCCTGCACGGCTGTATGCAATGTATATTTCAAAAGCGCAAGGTCATGCGACATCTATTTCTGACCCCAGGTTACGCATTTGGCGGGAGAGTTGATTATGACCTATCTGTCCCTGCTCCCTTCTGACACACCACCAAGAGTCCTCCGACCAAGTCGTCCGGGTTTTGTAAGGCCAGGCAGCCTGGGGCGCGGTTGTTTTGTTGATGAATTCTGGTTTACGAGATGCACCGTCATCACTGAAAAGGGCCGGGAGGCCGCCGTCGGCAGGCAGGGCGCGGCGGTGCGCGAGGCTTCCGGGCAGAGAGGCTCACAGAGGGGCCGGCAGGGAGGCTCCCGCTCCCTCCGCAGCAAGGGCCCCGAAGAGTCCGAGGAGTCCGAGGAGTGCACGTGGGCACCAAGGGCTGTGGAGCAGAGTAGTAGATGTAGTAGGGGCAGTCGGGGCCACAAGTGCCACAAGCTACGAAGGCCTGACATAGCGAACACCCTCCGAGCCCAATATCCGGCAGGTGCTGGCTGTTGAAGCAAACTGTGAGAGGCAGCGAGAAAGCACCAATGAAGGGAAGAAAAAACAGACATGGCTACTTATGCTTGTAGAACTAAACACACACACACACACATCGTGTATGCATGTGTGAATATATATATGTATATGTATGTATCGATATATATATATATGTATATACATGCACGGGTACAAGGTACATGTACATAACATAAACAAATAAATTTCTTATGTACCCCCCCACCCCGCCCCGCCTCCAACACTCTAAAGGCCCCGAGCGCGCAGTTCAACTCAAAGTAGCTGAGCAAACCAAAGCTTCCCCCAAACTGCCACGGTGATAGGTAGCGTAGGGCGTAGGTCAACTGCCACAGAGTGTCCTCAACACCCAAACCACTTCAAACCCACAAGCCTCCAAATCTCGGAGCTAAATTGCAGGATTGCGTTTTTCATCCTGCAGGAATCGAAGATGCAGTCCAAATGTTCCCTTCGATGGGAACTTCCTTCTGGCAAGCTGGGTGCGTCACACTCCTGAATCAGCATTCAAAAGCAGTAAGGGAAAGGCTTATAGGAATCAGCGTCGTATTGGAAATAGGCTGTGGGCATTTTCGGAGCCAACCTCGAGGCACCCAAGATCCATCCACATGGCTACCACTTTAACTTTGCCAGC